CCTGCATTACTTATGGTCTTGCGTCTCTGTATTTCTTTTACATATACGGACCATTTCGAACAGCTTCCTGCAACAAATTGCAAACATGTCAACAACAAGCGAAGAATGTAAAATCACTGAAATTAGATATATTTTTGTTCAAGTAAAATAGCAGAAGAAAAAAGATGGAACCTTTTCACCGGTGCTTTTTAGATGACGAGGGTCATCAGCAAAGTTACTACACAAGAACGCTTCGTGAATTTATTTGCAGCAGTTATACCTTACTTCCATTGCTGAGTAAATAAAATGTGAGTTTTATAGACTCATAGTACAAAGGGCTGTGGGAGAAAGAAGCCAATACAATGGCCGGTATGTGAGAAGTCGTTGAAATGTGTTATTCTAAAACAATTTTTTTTTTTTTGGTAAAAATTCTAAAACAATTTTTAGTTTTATGAAAATCAATTTTATTTTATTTTTAACTTTCTCAAATGCCTTAAAATTCTACTAATTACCACTAAATATTTGTAACTAAAATTCTACAGAGTTTGTTGAAATCACTTTATAAATCATGAGATTCCCTAAAATCTCTCTAAATTCCCTAAAATTTAAAAGTATCTAAATACATCCAAATCACAGATCCACTATCCCCCCCTTAATCCTTTGTCAGTGTTTTGTCTATTTTTAACGTCTATTTATAATGAATCAATCTGATTTTGCATGATGGCCACGACTCACAAATAGGCATATCGTACTAGATTTTACAATGACCACTATGTCATTGTAAAAAAAGAAATGAATCCCACATGTCTATATTTGTCTTCCCACAGTTTCGGATATTATAGAATGAAAAAGAGGGTCAAGGGTTTAAAGTTAAAACCAAGAAACAATCAAACTACTTAATTACTTTCGTCTATTACAAATGTACAACAAAGGAGAGTGACTACATGATGATTAGGATCCCTAAACCCTACAACATGCCAAAAATATTAAAAGATACTGCTACTCATAGAGAAACTAAACATGATGGAAGGGAATTGCAAAATTTCTAACTTGCTTTCTGAGTTATCCCGAACGAGATCAGTCTAATTTGATTCGGCCGAGACTCTCAGACACTGATCTCATCCTTGGTCGAACCTCTGGATCCATTTCCGTGCAGTTCAAGGCAACATGAATGGCTGCAATAACTTGCTTATCTGCGTAACCTTTGTTCAAAATCTCCGGGTCTAAAATCTCAGCCAAGGGCTTCTCTTCCTTGACCCAGTTCCTCACAACATGCACGAGTTCTTCGTCATTGTTGTTATAGGAAGCATTGGGCAAACGACCAGTCAACAGCTCCATAAGTACGACCCCGAACGAGTAAACATCGCACTTCTGAGATAATTTGTAACCAGAAGAAGCACGAGCCTCAGGTGCAAGGTAAGCAACAGAGGGAGCTGTAATTCTTGTCACCGTTGTAGCAGAGGTTATGTAGGTTTTGTCTAAGCTTTGCCTTTTGGCGGATAGCGAACCGGTGAGTTTGGAATAACCCGAAACCAGACGTGTGAGACCGAAGCCTGAGATGCGAGGGTGTAATTCATCATCGAGCAGGATTTTGGTTAATTTTAGGTTGCCATGAACGTACTTTCTCGGGCTATACTCGTGTATATACATCAAACCACGAGCTGTTCCTTGTGCAATACGTAACCTTTCAGGCCAAGAGAGTGGAGGCAGAGTACTCGACGGTCCACCTGCAAAAAAAATATATATATAATCAAAAGCCATTTCTTAAAACAATGATAACAAATAACAAACAAATCTCAACTCCATGCACAATATCCAATATTGCAATGATGCATCGATATTACAATAAAACAGCCCTAAGATCTTAATCTGACCTCTGCTTGTTCTGTCTAATTAAATAGTAGTTTAACCTGACATTGATCCCGATCTTAAACCAATAATATTCTCTCATACAGATCTTTGCACCACCTTTCTATACTTTTTACATTGCTATTTCCTAATTAAACACTCGCAAAAACCGAATTTACGTGGTGGTCTTGGACAAGAAGAAAGTTCCAAGTCTGTCTGTAACTATAACAGTTAACAAACATGTGAATTCAAAAGATTTTGAATGGAGAAAGAACAAGAGGAATACGCCTCTAATATTGACAAAACCTACATACATCCACCAATCAACTGGTTCGTTCAAAAGCACTAACTCCCAAATCAACCCAATTTTTTTTTGTTTGTCTCTGTTTTCTAGTCAACCGTACCCCCAAAGATTCAGAAAAACAAAAATTGAGATTGGCATCATACTTAATTAGTTAGTGGTTGATTAACGAAGGTGTGTTACCATTACCATGTAAGGCAGAGTACAAGCTCCCGTTGCGTATGTAATCAGTGATCAAGAGCCTCTCGTCCTCAGCATAGTAATAAGCTCGTACCCGTACGATGTTTGGGTGTTGGACTCTACCTATAGCCTCCACTTCGTTTTCGAAATCTTTCCGCCGCCACGTGGCGTCTCCGTCACTCAGCCTTCTCACAGCAACCACTGTGGATGACGAAAACGTTGCCGCCACCGTACCGGACCCCATTCCGGCTACTACTCTGTACACGATCCCACTTCTGCTCTTTCCCACTACGTAAGCCGACGCTCTCAGCAAATCCTCCAGCTCCATCTCGAATCCTTCGTCCATCACCACGAATTTACCTTCCTCCTCCTCCTCCTCATCGAACCCCATTGGCGCAGCCGTGCTCTTTTTCTCCGACTTGCTCTCGCCGGAGGTCAGTTTTCTCCGGATCAGCCATACGGAGATAGAAACAGCTCCGATTACGATTGAGACTCCGGATATGAGAGAAACCGTTACTGATCCGGTGACCCGTTTAGCCTTTCTTCCGTCCTTGTCGATGAAACTAGGGTTTGGTTTCTTCGGGAGTAGTTGCGAGCCTTCTGGTTTTGGAGCGACGAGCTTACTAGGATTTGAACTTTCTTCTTTGCACAGCTTCTGTAGCGGAAAGCCACAGAGATCAGAGTTCCCGGCGAAAGCGGTTGGTCCTTGGTTTAACAGAGACCCAATCTGAGGTATTTTTCCGGTGAGATTATTGTGGCCGAGATCTAAGCTCACGAATACCGGAAACCGTCCATACGACGGCGGAATTTCGCCGGAGAATCTGTTGTAAGAGAGGTTGAGCGTGCCGACCAAGCTTCCGAGTTGAGTGAGTGACTCAGGGAGTGACCCGTTAAGGAGATTGGAGGAGAAATCAATGTGGGTGAGATTCTTGAGGGCTTGTATTTGGGCCGGAATTTGGCCGGAGATTGAGTTGTGAGAGAGATCGATGAAACGGAGATTGACGGCGTTGAAGAGGCGAGACGGAACGGGTTTTGAGAAGTTGTTGCGAGCGAGGTCGAGTTTTAGGAGGGAGTCTAGTAGTCCGAGTTCGGAGGGTATGTAACCAGACAGCCTTCTGCCGGAGAGTACGAGTGAGGTGACTCGGCCGTGAGAGCAGATGATACCAGGCCAGTGGCATGGAGTCGGGTCGGACTCGGACCAGGAAGTCAAGACACGGGTCGGGTCTTTCGAGACGGCAGATTTGAGAGCAAGAAGTGACAAACCATCGGGGTTTAACGAAGAGGATAAGCTGATGAAGAATAGGAAGAAGAAGGAGGAAGAAACAAGAAGTGATAGACACTGCATTTTCTCGAGAGTATGAGAATCTTGAAAAGAAAAATAAACAACACTTGTTTAATATCTAGAGATGGTGTTTCATGAGAGTGATTATGCAACGAGGAGTTGCAGAGGGAGAGAGAGATACGAGAGAAGAAGAAGAAGAAGAAGAAGACGAAGGAGAAGAATTTTGGGGTGATGGGTTTACAAAGTAGCAACGTGGTTATAGTGTAGACATGGGAAAGTTTTTTTGAATTCTTGTGAGAGGAGCTTAAAAGTGTTTTGGAAGATGTTACGAAATTTGAATTAAATTATATAAAAAAGAATCATGTGTCTTTTTGCTATGTGACACTGACAGTTTAGTTATGGATTGTTAAATCCAAAGTATTTTTAGCCATTGACTGATGCAGGTGGGTTGTTCTTATAAATGTCTGTGCTTTTTCAAAATTATTTTATACTAGTTTAAAATTTTTCTAGTTTTTTTGGGTATGATGTAAGACCGTCGATGATTATTGGGTTTGGTTTTTGTTGGAAAATGGATACGAGTAGGCTTTTTATTACTTGGAAGCCGAGACACACGACAGGTTTTTGAATTTGGATTTGTGTTAGGAGACGTTAACCATTTTTTTTAAACATCTACTAATGATCGTAGCTAACGAAGTAGGTTGGTTTAATCAGACTAAATCACACATGGTTACAGATTTTAGCAACTTGAAACTGAGTAGTAAGTAGTTAATAGAGTGTGACCTTCTATGTAAATTCATAGAAATACTGAAATACAGAGCAATCTCATTAACGGCCAGACCAGTGACACTTATATCACACTGACCATATCTTTTAGGTACCCACAAACCTTGTGAACTAAAGATTTGGTATCATCACGACTTTGACAATGTGTGGCACACAAGCTAGCTATGCCTATGATTTTGTTTTTTTGAAAAACGAACATATTATTTGAAATTTCAATCAAATTAAAAGGTATGGTACAAAAAAAGGTAACATTCTATAAGACATGACTATAGTAGATTGTGGTTGTGTCAGGAAAAAACAATAAAATCATCACCACCTGACAAAAGTCACCAATACAAAGATGCATGTGAATATCCCACTTATGTCCCCTACAACCACCGTACCGGATAGCATCTGGTAAATTCATTCTCATTCCGGTTCAAAGTGATATCATTCTTATAATACAAAGTGATATTGGAGCTTCTTTACTCTCATCAATCAAAAGGGCATTGTAGTTTACCAAAACCGTGGTAGGAGTATAGGACTCGGATATGATCTTCTTTACTGTGTATTCTTTGCATATTTATATTAAGCCTCTAATTATTGTTCAGCTTTTCAACCACAGTGGCCAGATATCACACTGACCAACTATAAGCTAAAATTTGAAACGAGTATATAAAATTTTATTCAAATTAAAACGTTACATTCTACAAGACATATATTGTGGTTGTGTCAGAAACAAAAACGAAAAAACACATCATATAACACCTGCCAAAAGTCAAAGATGCAAAGCGACATTTGCTAAAGTTTAGATTTTCGAATTGAAGCGTTACCCTCGTGAATCAAAAGGGCATCGTAATGACCAAAACCATGGTAAAGGACCCGGATTGGATCATCTTTACCGTATTCTTGACCATATTCCGCAATAGATATAAGTCCTCCAGCTTTCTCGTCTTTCATATACACTGTAATTGGCATCCTATGATCATAAAAGATAAGATAAACACTTCTTTTGCTTAATTTTGTTATTCTATCAAAAGGCATAAAACTTTCAAAGATAAACTATATGCCCGTTTCAAGTTTGTTAGTATTCAATCTTGAATGTGTATTGGAACCATGCACATCAATGAACAAAGAACAGAGGAGTTGAAGTTATTTACTGGAGAACATGCGAAGCCATGAAGAGTTCAGGTTCACCTCCCCACACCTGTGGCTTCCGAATTTGTCTGACGTATGTGTCGAAATCTCCTTCAACAAACCTGGTGAGAACCATCAAAAGGAGTAGGTGCAAAAAACTTCTTAGCCTAGTGCTTCGTAATTCAGGGTTCATAATATGCTACGCTCTCACTAATAGTAACAGCTACCAAGAGATCAACTAATGTGACATGGAAGTTGAAAAATTCATTTTATTTTATTGAACTGCTATGAAAACATTAATAGATAAATAAACTTACCATTCTGTTTCCTGTCTTCTTTTAATAAACTCATCAGCAACCTATCATATTCAAGATAGCACATGGACTTGATATTTGATTCATGTAGTTTAAGACTTGTGACAGATAAAAACTCTAACCAGATACTTACCCTGGTGCGTAATTCATCAGCGAGTTCTCTCTGTGTCTTCTCGCCAGGAGCCAGTTTCCCAGAGCGCAAGCAAAATCCGTGAGCTACAGAACGAAACAAGCATCTACCATCCCCAGGAATACCTACAAATCATTGCCATTTTCTGATTCAACAATGGTCGACAAGAAAACAAGATTAGCAATATGACTATTCATAATATTGGATACTTACCAATGATAGAGTAATCAGTGTAGACTCTTTTCCCATTGTGGTATTTACCATCAGACGAATTGTTATCCCTTGAAGCATCTGCGTAAGCTGATTGAGAAGCAGAGGAATAACAAACAAGCAAGCTAACAACCATGCCAGTATAAGCAAATCTTGAAAACCAATAGAGATTTCTCATGTTGCTTTTTATGTCAGAGCATTTTCTTCTTGCATCAGGGGACAAGAAAGAAACTTGAAGCTTTTCCTTAGGACCAACGGTTGATCGATTGATCAATACCGAGGCACAAAGTCCTTTATCCGGTACAGTAGAAGGTCTGTTAGAGATGGATACACCAAAACCTGTATAATCTTTTCTGGCAAGTCCTCCTGAGAAGAGACTGTAACAGCGGAATTTATATGATCCTTGAAGGTGAGTGCCTAAATGCCTCTTGATATAGATAACATTCCTAGAACATGTCGTGATTGGAGAGTAACAAATCATCATATCTTCTTCATAAAATCTTCCAATACAAAATCTTCAACTATTCAGGAGAGATTCCAGATATACCTACACAAAGAACAACACAATTTCTAAGACTTTAATAGATATCTCAAATGATTCTAAAAGACAAACAAAAGAACAGCAAAATCCACTTCAATGATCCCAAACAACCAAATCCAATCCACTTCTAATCTCAGCACAAGAACTGACAATATCTTTAAAACCCGTAGAATCAACTTAAGTAAGTGGGATATCAGAAATGGATTTAACCAAAACCAAAAAACAAAAACACAAAATCCAAACCTATTGAAAAAACTGGAGAAACGCAGGTAGAATGATACAATTGCGTAGGCGTACCAGAGAAGCACCGAGAGAGAGAGAGAGAACAAACACGTGAAAAGAGTGAATAGGCTATTACAAGGGCGCCAAGCAAAGAATGTTTATTGTACTCACTCTGATTTTCCAAAAAGGCAAGAAACTTGTTTGACTGGTGGTCACTATATAGGAGATGCGAATTTAGACAAGACAAAGCTGAATTTGTAGTCTTGGTTCTTCTTGGAGAGCGCGACTTCTCGAAATTTCTATTTACCGACGCTGCAATGAAACGAACTTGCAGTCGAGAGACGCGAGAAGCATCGGCTGTGTTGCACTGTTCAATTCGTTTTACTCAATCTCATCGTTAAGCGCCACCGTTTTATAGATTCGCTCCATTTAGCTTTATTGGGCCGAATAAGTGGGCCTAATAACTCGTTTTATGTGACTGCCACCTAAACTAAAGCCCGTTCTCTTTGCATGAAAACTTTTTTTCTTTTTCTCCAGATTACTAAATTAGGATCCGATTTTATGTTTTTCTTCACATATACAGTATAAGTGTATATCATAAGTAAAAAATATTTAATATCGTACGTTTTACTGAACTGGTTACTTCAGCAAATATATTTATATTTTTAAAAAGTAAAAAAAAAAGTCCTAAATTGGTCGTCGAGATTAGCAAGTTGATTCTTGGAAAGGAAACTCAACAAAAAGGTTAGTCAGTGTCAGAAACGTTTCTTCCTGAAACTGGCAAAGGCATCGCAGTGCCAGTGGTAGTACCGTGAACAGGCTTGCCGTTCTGTGGTACAACAAACACAAAAGGACTCTGGCAAATGCAATGAATGAGAGAGTTTTCACGGCCAATCTAGACCCAACACATCACTCCCTTCGCCGTGCTACTTGGTCAATGGGAGAGAGAGAGAGAGAGAGAGACCCCATCATTGTGGCCTTCGGCTATTCACAGGGAGATATGGTTTTTTTTCTTTCTCGGTCAGGTGGACCAAACTTTATCACAAGTCCTTTTTTTTGGGGGGTCCTTGTGTTATGGGGCCACATTGTTTCGTCCTTGTCTTCTGGGTCCATCGTATGTTCCGGTCACTATCTCTCTACTCATGTATATCATCACAATTTCTTTTGCATGCAGTCATCAATTTAAGTTTTTCTTCCACTGTATGTTCTTGTTTTCTAATCGATGTCTCCTCATCATAGCTAGTTGTATATATGATCAGTGATATTATTGTTACGACATGGTGTTTTGTTTATAATCAGACATAAATTAACAACAAAAAATCCTTGCAAATAAAAGAGTGGTCAAGAAAAAAAGTTATCTTACATTCAATGCATTTGAAAGTATATAGTTTCAATCTTAAAGGTGGATATGTTTATAGGTTATAAGAAAATTGGTTGAATCCAAGGCAACTAACATGTGAAAGTACAATGGTTGATAGAAGTGTGTTTCGATTTGGATCACTCATTGCCTATAAGTCTAATATAACGTATATTAACTATTACACATCACTGTATCTGTACCTGTATCGATCATTGTGCCAAATATGTTAAGACATGTACGTCAGTACGTGTATCTTTAGTGTTTATATGTAACGACGACTTCTATGCGTGTAAACCTGTAAGTTAATGTAGGGAATTTGCAGACGTCTGCTTCGTTATCATATATATATATTAGATATACACTTCGATATATAGTTCAATGTTTCTAAAGACCGATTTCGAATCATGACGACCCTCCTAACCAAATACAGCATTGGACTTGGACTTGGACTTCTGGTTTGGGAGGTGAAAAGCATTCATGATGTTAGATGCTGTTTAAAATATTTCCTTTTTTTCTTGTTGTTGGTATGGGAGGTTTAAAAAATATTCACAAGAACTTATAACATGCAAATAATGTTTATACGACTAAATCCAAATAATCTTTGATGAACATAAAAATGTAATCACGAGAAACACGGAATGCTTCATAACGTTGTATACAGAAGAGAGAATTGCATGTGGACATTCTTATTACACAAAAATAGTCAAAATATTTACCTAAGATATTAAATATATGTCGTTAAATGTAATGATGCATTGCTCCTATTTTTGGGATGGTTACATATAAAATGTTTTCACAGCCACATTTACATTGACAATATTTAGCTATATAATATTCTGATTATTAGCTAAACCAACTAACTTTAACCATTCCATAATTGTTCAGCTTTAACTTGACTTGATTAAGGTAGGGATCTCGATCGTTTGCTCGGCAATTTGGGAATACTGTAACTAACTAAACTACCTCTTGAGAGAGAGATTAGATATATGTGTGGATCGATCCCATTCCCATGCATGTCAGGATTGTAACAGCTGTCGTTGAATAATGCAATTGCAAGGCTATACATAGAAAAATAGAACATTTTTATTGAAATTTTAAGACACAAATAAAAAGAGAGAAGAATGCTTATTTTATTGATTCATCGAAACATGTTAATATGGGAAGAAGGTAAATTCCACACCCCCACCCCACTCCACTCGGGAGAGAGGGACTTAGAGAGGGCCAGAGTCACGTGGTTTGCACGCGGATCCAGATATCCACTTATAAAACGAGTTATCTATCTATCTCTCCCATATTAATATTTCTAAATAAATCGCAAGTATTTTATTTTATTTCCATTAAATCTTCACGTACGTATACATCTGAAAATTTCATTGTGGTCTCGCCCGTATCCATCCTATTAAACTTATCATCATCATCATCTCAGTTGAGGTTTGTGAATATAACGCTCTCGTTCACAAAATTTGAGGCTATAGAGTTCTGGACCACATGGCGAGTGTTTAGTAAAAAGTTTAGTCTCTCATGGGTGCGAGACTGCTTTGGAGGGTTGACGAGTCATTCTTTTCTAAGAATGATATAGTTCAAAATGACTAGCTTTATCGGTGGATTTGGAGTCTGGAAGGATGTATATACGAGCCCAAATATTACAACTTCCCAATCAGTTGAAATTGGATTGATGAGCTTATACATACGAGTATAATAGTTCCATTATGTTTCAATAAATATTGCTTTTAATTTCTAGAATACTGTATATAATTTGGTTAAAACTTTCTTAATCGATTAATCCCTGATTTTTAAAAGCCAGTGTATATATGTATTATTGTTGAAGACTTTGCATGTTTCTCTAATTAAGTCAAAATAACAGAGACGTAGGTCGTATATATATAGTATATAGGTAGGTAGGAGAGGTATTTTGGTTGGTTAAAAAAAGAAGAATAGATAAGAGAGGGGGTAAAAATCAAATTCCCCAACGTAACACGAAAGAAGCAATGGAGGCTGGGAAAGTAAGTAACGTCGCCAAATTGGAAATACCAAAAAAAGATTTGTACCTTTGCCTCTCTCTTTCTCTTTGATTGAGACTTCACTTCACTTCACTACACCAAACCTGCCCTCCCTCTCACACCAATTCCTTCCCACTTAGTTAATACACACTTTTAAGTTTGTAAACTCATTTAATTTTATTTTCCACAATTGGTTAATCATGATGAAATTAGGAAATGGAATTTGGGTATGGGCTTAAATTCTAATTAAGGAGAAGTTGAATTTCTGTTCGGCCCATTGTGTGTTAATATATTATTCCACGTCTCCAAGGGACCCACCTTGTTTCACACTTTTACTACAGAACTAGAAGTTAACCCGTGGTACACCACGGGTACATAGTTTAATATATTTCTTTGGTTGATCATTTTCGTATTTGGTTTATATATTTTAGTTTTATACATGTTTATTTCATTTAATTTAATATAATTTCATGAATTTGTATTATAAGTAGATTCGTAAATATATGTGGTAAACCGACGGTACATCACAAGACGATTTTGTTGTAAATAAAAAAATATATTTTAACTTAACCCGTAAAATATTTTAAATATAGACAACCCGCAGAAAAATATATCATATTTATGTAAACTCAAACCCGTTCAATCATATTTATGTACAATATTATTATATTTTAAATATTTGTAGAACTAAAATATTAATAATACTATTAATTTTTGTAGAATTTAAATATTTTCATTATTTTAATATTCTATAAAACTTAAATAAAATATCATTATTTTCAGCTTTTAAAAGTTTTAATATTTATCATATTTTAAACTTGTTAAAAAAAATTAAAATTTATAATATTCTGAAACTTTATATAATTTTTATTTTTCTTAAATAAAGAACCGGATTAAACTAATAATTTTTCTAATTTAGATACTTGAGAAATCAAAGTTCATGCTCATTTGTAGTTGTAAACATATTAGTCTTATTTATAAAGGTTTTGAACTATTATCTAAAATTTCCTATCTTATGTAGACGTTGTACATATATTTTTCCTTTATTGATTGAGTTAAATACGTCCGTTTTAAAAATTTTAAATTGAAAAATGTGTGGAAAAAAATTTGTATTTTTATTATAAATATATTTTATGTAATAATGTAAATTTAAAACAAATAAGAGTATATAAATATATTGAACAGATATTCAGTTTATTAGAGAGAAATTTTAGGAAATTTTTTTATGTAATAAATATTTGTTTCCAATTTTGCATTTGCTTATGATTTAATTACAAAATTTACTTTTAAGTTTTGTTATTTATTCAAATGGCAAGGGTTTGATTTTGTAAATATTAAAAAATAAAAGGTTATAAGCCAAAATAGATTTTCGTACAAAATGTACTTTAAAAATGTTAAGATAGATATTTTCTTTATTTTTTCCCCAAAATATAACTTAAAAAAACATGTTAAGAAAAAAAAAAGAGAAAAAATAACATTAGAAATTTCCCATTCTTCCGTATCCATCCAACCACTCATTGTGAAAATAATTGATCCAACGGCTGAGATAATTAGAAATGGTGCTATTGTATATGGTAAATTAATTAAAAAATATAACAATTAAACAAAACTATATACAAAACGAAATCGGAGTCCGTGTGAGCAGTCAGACAACCTGATGTAAACCTCCCCCCCCCCCCCCCGGTCCATTTATGGTATATTACTTCTGAGTTCCTATAATTAATATACTAAAACTATGCATTATAAATTTTTTTTATAATTATACTCTGAAATAAAAATAAAAATAGGGGTCAGAGACAGCAGGCTGGTCCTGCGCTCGAATAAATAAAAAATCTACCCAATTGGATTTAATTTGTGCCGTTTTCTGGTACGCTCCCAATATTAATATTATTTTCTTCTTTTTTTATTTCTTAATAATAAAATATATAGTCCGTTTCTATACGATATAACTGTCTGTATGATATTAAAGTTACCAAGATTAATAAATATATTAGGGAAAAAAGTCACCCATTAAAGCCCAAAAGGCCCAACTAATATCCATTGGGATCCAGCCAAATTTATAAAGTTGTACAGTAATAACCAAAATTGTTTTCCTCTCTCTCTTCCTCTAATAAAAGAGGAGAGTGGCCTTTTTATTTATTTAACAGACGCACTCCACAGCTAACGTTGCTTTCGTCCTACTCCAAATAACCCTTATTGTGGGAGTAAAAGCTTCAGAGAGATACTTACTATCCAAGCACTATTGATTCCTTCTTCGCCAACTTCTCTCTGAGCTTCAGATAATTTTGGATTTCAGTCACCGCCATTGATGCACCTCCTCCTTCTTTTCCTTCACTTTCTCTATATCTCTCTTCGCCGCTTTTTGCTCGCTTCCTGACAAATATCGATTTTTTCCTTCTACTCCACTCTCTCCTTTTTGTAGGTTCTGTTCTATTAGGGTTTCTTCTCGAGATTGTTGCATTTTGATTACCGCATATCGAATGTGTTGCTGCTGATTTTTTATTTTTGTTTCTATTATTGGCGCGCGTGAGACGGTATTATTGTATTTTTGTTCCCGGAGATTTTCCCAGTGAGCTTCCGTTTATGGATCTGACTGGTGGGTTTGGAGCTAGATCCGGCGGCGCTGGACCTTGCCGGGAAGCAATAGGGCTTGAATCGCTTCATCTCGGCGACGAATTTCGGCAACTTGTGACGACGTTACCTCCTGATAACGCCGGTGGTTCTTTCACCGCTCTGCTTGAGCTTCCGTCCACACAAGCCGTGGAGCTTCTCCATTTCACTGATTCCTCGTCTTCCCAAGCGGCCGTGACAGCGATCGGTGGAGATATTGCGCCGCCGCTTCACTCTTTCGGCGGGACATTGACTTTTCCTTCTAACCCAGTCCTCTTGGAGAGAGCTGCTCGTTTCTCGGTGATTGCCACTGAGCAACAGAACGGTAATGTCTCCGGGGAGACTCCGACGAGCTCTGTGCCTTCCAATTCCAGCGCCAATCTCGATAGAGTCAAGACAGAGCCTGCTGAGACCGATTCAGCTGTGGAGAAGCAAGTCCCTTCCCCCAATCAGACCAATCGATCTGGCAAGAGGAAAGATTTCGAGAAGAAGGTGAGAGACGAATGAGTTTTACTTGTTACATTTGACGCTTCGTATCACCAGGTTGATGAATCCCTGAAAATTCTAGGTTAAAAGCTCGACGAAGAAAAACAAAAGCTCAGAAGAGAACGAGAAGCTACCATATGTTCACGTCAGAGCTCGTCGTGGTCAAGCAACTGATAGCCATAGCTTAGCAGAACGAGTAATCTGCAATCTCTCAGTTTTCACAAATTTTTAGCTTGTTTTTGGTCTTAATCAGGTGATTAATAGCTAATAATATCACTAATTTTGTGGATTATAGGCAAGAAGGGAGAAGATAAATGCACGAATGAAGCTGCTACAGGAACTGGTCCCAGGCTGTGATAAGGTTTGTCTCTTAGACATCAACGTGTAATTAATTTGCTAATCAATCATTAGGTCCTCATGTGTGCTTAACGACAGGATATTTCTTTAATTGATTTCACTCAAAAAGTAAGAATTTATAATTAGACGATTTAGTTTTCTGTTAAGGGTCTTAATCCTTCCACACCTACTTTTTTCCCCCAAAAAAGTGGATTGCTTAATTGCTTTTATATTAAGAAAAGTGGTTTTTGGTCTGCCAATGTGGTCAGTTGGGTAATTGTGTAATGCCTTTTAAGAGGTTTCTCAACTTTTTCTTCTTTCTAAATCGTGTGGGGAGAAGTATCTCACGGGTGCACTTAGCTTTAAGGTTAACTTAGTCACACGGAAGTGATAGGACCTAGCTATATCGAATTCTTTTTTCCTCATCTCAAAGTGTGTTCATTGAGCTTGAAGATTAGTCAACAAATGACGAGAATGACCTTAGGAAGTGGGGATGCTAGCTGTAATGTGCCATTAAGGTTTTGGGTTTAGGGGACAGATTTTGGTGGAAAGATCAAGATCAAAGTGTGTTTTGGGGTCCATCTTTTGATAATAAGTAGGAAAAAAAAGTTGCAAACTTTCTATGGAAGGTGAGGAAGGGGTAGTATCGTCTCTAACAAGTTCGGTATCTATCAAGGAAAAAAAAGACAGTGACTCTTAGAAGGACGATTAAAGCAAATGATCCTTTACAAAAATTGATATGCTTTGAGTCCCACATACCTAATTAGTTGGAAAGATGATGTGACACTCCCCCTAGACAACTAATTTATCATCCCTGATGTTAGAAGTTAGCAGCAATTATTGGTGTGATGGAGATGATGATATGGAACATCAGTGTTTGTAGGAACATCAGTGTTTGTAAAACATTTGGATTCTATAGGTGAGCTGTTAGGACTTGATTGATTGTTCCGTAACCCCTAGAGTACTGATTACATTATGAGACTGTAGATACCATTTATGTTAGCTTTAGATTAAGGAGTCATTTTCTTGCTGTTTATTTCGGACAATCTTAACATTTAGGTAGCTGCTTAGGAACTTCTTCTGGTGTGTGATACCACTTAATATGAGTCCTAAGCTCATCAGAAAGTCTTTGACCTGCAGATTCAAGGTACCGCGCTGGTGCTGGATGAAATCATTAACCATGTCCAGTCATTACAACGTCAAGTGGAGGTGAGACTTTCCGTGGTCCAATTTTTGTTCTTTACGCCTATATTGTACAATAGCCTTAGGCACAACCAAAAGGTCAACTCAAAACAGTTTGATCATGAATGGAATTGTGTGCCACAATCTCATGAATCTGTGAATTGTGTTTCCACAGATGCTATCAATGAGACTTGCTGCGGTAAATCCCAGAATCGACTTCAATCTCGACACCATATTGGCTTCAGAAGTAAGTATCTAAATCTCAAACAATACTAAGGCCCTTCTGATTCTTCTTTAGGAAAATTAACCATTTCATGTGTTTCTCATTTAAGTAAACCATACCTCTTTGAGTAGCTTTTAGATTCTATCACAAAAAGAGAAACTTTTGGGTATTTATTGATACACACATTAATTTAGACCATTTTAGTGTAAGTCGTAGGAAGATCAACGTCTACTCTCATGAAGGAAACTCAGGGAAAAATAAATACACAACACACACATCACACATACACCGTGCAAATTACAGTACACAAAGAGCTTAGTGGGTCAAAAAAACTCGGACCACCTATGGTTCTGTAAACCTTTCTGTGTCTTCTGTGACTTATGTCGGATGTGTATTTGATGAGCTTTGATGAACATTTCTAAAATAAAACTATTCAATAATTTCTGTGGGTCTTTCCAACATCTTTTTTCTTTTCAAAGTGACCTATCTAATTTCATGATCACCTGTGGATTCTCATCAAAACTTTTGGACCAAAGTAAATAAATGCTCTCCTCTCTTTCTTCTTACAGCTTGTTTCACCATTAAATAGCCAGGGACCCTCTCATTAAAACCTTTGGTTCTTGTAGGATAGCAGCAACAGTTGACTTCTTTGACTAGATCAAGATCTCCATGAATGATCCCTTAGCTGATATCTTTTACCGGTTTTGGCTTGGTTATTCTTTTTCACAGAACGGTTCTTTAATGGACGGGAGCTTCAGTGGTACAGCAATGCAGCTTGCTTGGCCTCATCAAGCCATAGAGACCGAACAGTCCTTTCACCACCACCGGCAACTGCAACCACCACCACCGCAACAGTGGCCTTTTGAAGGCTTGAATCAGCCAGTATGGGGAAGAGAAGAGGATCAAACCCATGGCAATGATCATAGTAATTTGATGGCTGTCTCTGAAAATGTAATGGTGGATTCTGCTAATTTGCACCCAAATCAGGTCAAAATGGAGCTGTAAGTTGGGAAAACAGTAGATCATGAATGTGTATATATCGTATAAGCTCGTTCCTCTCTCTATATATAATCATAAATATATAAGAATTAGATATCTGTTAAGAAGGTGTCGGTCATTTGATTCAGAGAGACAAAACTGGTATGATTGTGTCTTATTTTTATTTTTTTTTACCAGATTTCCACAATGTAGAACCTATAGAATATAATGTCTCAGCACTGCTCAAGATGAGTAGAATAAGATCATCTTTTTTCTCGTCTCACTGTCATATGCAGTCTGAATAATCGCCTTTACGTACCGGTAAAGAAAATCCACAGCCAAGAAATATGGTCAATGAATTCACACAATATGGTATGGGAGAAGACTACTTTTGACATGATACTAGAATAGGTTTTTCGTTCTTTACATTCCAAAGTTTCTCGATTGAGCACTCAGGCTATTTCTTATATTTCAAGCTTGATCTCCAGTTAGTTTAAGAGATCTTTACTTTGTGTATCATGTCAATGAATTGAAATCTATCCAATGAAGAGTTGCTCTTTCTATTTAGTGATAAAGATTGTTTGAGATGAGGTCACCAGTAGAGAAGTGTAGTAATGATTTAGTAAGGTGCGTAACGTTGAATTTTTATGGCCTCATTCAACGGAATTAGTAAAATACTCCAGTAGTATCAAGCAAGCTGCTTAAGGAGTTCTAGTTTCAATTTGTAATGAAGCCTACATATTGGTCTGTGTGTTGTTGATCTGTTGGATAAGATTATCAAACCATTAGAAAAACAATGGGCACGTCACTTACGGGAAGCATATTATTGCTCCTATTATTTTTGTCCCTCGTCCAATCACATTCGTACACGTCATTTTCGAAAATCCAACTTCCCGGCGATTCTCTGACTCTATCCGTTACCGATTTCGGCGCCACCGGCGATGGTATCAGCTACGACTCCTCTGCGATTCAGTCAACTATTGACGCCTGCAACCGTCACTACGCATCTTCTTCGTCCATCTGCCGCGTCGTTTTCCCTTCCGGCACCTATTTGACCGCCAAGCTTCATCTCCGATCTGGCGTTGTTCTCGATGTGACGGAGAACGCCGTGATTCTTGGTGGGCCGAGGATCGAGGATTATTATCCGGCGGATACTTCGTCGGATTGGTACGTGGTTGTGGCGAACAACGCGACTGACGTTGGAATCACCGGCGGAGGAGCGATTGATGGGCAGGGATCGAAGTTCGTGGTCAGATTCGATGAGAAGAAGAACATCATGGTGAGCTGGAATCAGACTGGAGCTTGCTTGGGTGATGAGTGTAGACCTAGGCTTGTTGGATTCGTTGATTCTACAAACGTCGAGATCTGGAACATCACGTTACGAGAGCCTCCCTATTGGTGGTTAGTTCTAAATTCTGCTTTTCACAAGAACTCTTTGTACACAGTTTACTTTGTTTCACTATCTTAGATCGGAAGATAAGTAACACTAGCTGAGGATTTAGGCTACTGTGATTGCCCAATGTTCAAGACTGAATGAATCTCGAATCTTTGGTTTGCCACTCATTGCAGCTTGCATATTGTGAGGTGCGAGAACACTTCAGTCCACGATGTATCGATCCTTGGGGACTTCAACACTCCAAATAACGATGGAATCGACATTGAAGATTCCAACAACACTGTTATAACAAGGTGCCACATTGACACAGGAGATGATGCGATCTGTCCCAAGACTTACACTGGTCCGCTTTACAACTTAACAGCTACAGACTGTTGGATCAGGACCAAATCCTCAGCCATTAAACTCGGTAGCGCGAGCTGGTTTGACTTCAAAGGTCTTTTCTTTGATAACATCACTATTTTTGAATCTCACAGAGGCCTTGGCATGCAAATACGCGATGGAGGTATAAATTATCTTCTTTTGACTGCTTTTAGCTCATAAAACTCTTTTAATGTAACCCCCAATATGTGGTGGCCCTTTGCAGGAAATGTGAGTGACATTACATTTTCGAATATAAACATTAGTACAAGATACTACGATCCATCATGGTGGGGAAGAGCAGAACCAATCTATATAACATCTTGCCCTCGTAGCCCATCTGCAAAGGAAGGCGCAATCTCGAATCTCCTATTCGTAAACATAACAATCAATTCTGAGAATGGAGTCTTTTTATCAGGTTCTCCAAACGGATTACTCTCAGACATTAAGTTCAAAAACATGAACCTTACTGTCAGAAGATGGAGCAATTACAGTGCAGGACTTGTGGATTATAGACCTGGATGTCAAGGTCTCGTGAACCATAGCACCACGGCTGGGATCATAATGGAACATGTGAACGGGTTTAGCGTCGAGAATGTTGACCTGAAATGGTCAGATGATCTGAATTCTGCTTGGAATGTCCCTCTCGAATTTAGACCTTCCACTGTGAATAATATCTCGTTTGTTGGTTTCAATTCTGGTCTTTTACACGAGATTGTTTGAGTCTGATTACGTTTTGCTTGGTGAACACAAAAGATTGCTTCAATCATTATGTTTGTTCTAGTTGAGATTTGGATTCTGCTATCTTCTTTTACTTCTTAATAAGCTTATTTTCAGTTTTCACACAAACGACACCGTTTATCCAGTTTTCCTTATACGATGTCGTATCAGGCGTACATAGTTGTAGGTTTGCGCACACACTCGCGTTTTTGGTTTACTCATTATCGTCTAACCAATCGCTCAAAGAAGAAACCGAAATCACAGAAATGGCGTCGACGAAGCCATTGATCGTCGCAGCAAAGACGCTCCGGAACCGGATCCATTTCCGATCTGGATCCACATCAGCTGGTCCAAGCCGGTGGGCAACGGCGGGTCACGAAGAGCGGCCGAAAGGATATTTCATGAACCGGACTCCGCCGCCTCCAGGACAGTCGCGCAAGTGGGAAGATTGGGAGCTGCCTTGTTACATCACAAGCTTCCTCACGATTGTTATCCTCGGTGTCGGACTCAATGCCAAACCCGATCTTTCAATAGAGACCTGGGCTCATCAGAAAGCTCTCGAGCGCCTCGAGATGGAGAAACTCGCGTCTGCTGGGGATTCGTCTGATTAATCTCTGATCTTGGGATAGTTCATATGATTCGATTGGTTCATCTGGTATGTGTGTTTGTGTGTGTTTTTTTTCCGGGGATTTGAGGAGATTTTTCCGTTTATGATGATGATAACGTATACTAGTGACCTAGCGTTTCGTTTTGCTTCGCTCTCTCCTCTTCCTTTTTAATCGTTAGTGTTCATAAAATTGTTCATGAAATAAGCCATCTTTTTAACTCTTGACGATGGATTTATGTAACTCACCGTAGATTTTTGATCATGTTACAAAGCTGCAAACTTTTGCTGTCCTGTCTCCAATGCTTTTGCTTACATCTTCTCAAATTTGATTACTTTTCGTTCTTCCAGATTAGCTCGATGGCCTCGCAGAATTTTTTATACAGTAATTGGCTTTGCTGACATTGTGTGATTTTGATTTATTTGAGTTGTGAATCTTTAGTTCATTTTATCTTATGAATCTGTGCAGTAAAAACATTTCTTGATTCCGGTTTCAACTTCGCATTAGTAATACTTGAAGGGTGTAAGTATAGTTCGGGTTAAGGAAAGTTTTTCCTTTGTGTTGTAGTTATGAAAGCCTCGAGAAGGTAGGTTCATTACTATAGCTTGTGCTTCTAAGATGTATACACTCTTGGAGTTAGGAAATCGGATAAGCAGTTGTAGGATGTAACACACTGGATTCCTATTGTATCATTTCCAAAGATATTGAGGGTTAATTGAAACTTCAAAAAAACATTTGCTAGAGTGTCCTTCACATCTTATTACCATTATGTTACTTGCTGTGTGTATTGAGTTGCGAGCCAATTACTTATACCAAGTGAGAGAACATAGTGTAGATATCGGGTATTTGGAAAAGAGGTTTTATGCATTACTTGGTTAAGTTCAGGGAGAGGAAGGTGCAAGAGAATTACACTCGTGTAGGTTGGTGAAGTCTTAGAACATAACAGTATACTTTATGTCTCTGCAGGTTCAGATGAATAGATGTAGAACTAGATAAGATAAAACATGTACTGCCATCTTTTGTAGATTGTTGATGCATTGCGAAATTTTTAGGTAACTGTAGGTTGTGTGTTGGATTCCTAAATTTACTGATGAACATGGTGGCTATTCTTGGTATTAGCTTTGATCTTTCCTTCTCATTTTGGTTGTTTGGATGCATACTGTGTATCACTCACAAGTCAGATTATGAAATCCTTTTGTTCTCCTTACTTTTGGGTCTGGGATGTCCAATCTGAATAAACCGATCCAAAAATGACTGATTATAAACCGGTAAATCTAAACCGAAATCCACATGTGATATATCCCTACCACATTTCCATGATTTGACAAACTTGTGCAGCTGAAAACAGTGGGCATCGATTTTATTTGAATGTTTGTTGGCTGCTGTTTATAAATCTAGTGAACACTAAAACTGGCTGGTGTACTTATTGCTATTGCTACCTGCATTGATAATTTTACAAGCTATCTGCATCTAGTTTCAAAATCATCATTTGCATTATGTCGGTATACTCGCGCATTAAGTGGTTTTTGTTCTCATATTTTATGTTTATGGAATATCAAACTAGCAAAAGTTTTGCTTTAATAAATTTCTTGCTGTATCTTTAATATTATCTCTTATGCAATGAGCTACCATCATTGGCCACCAGCCCACCCCACACTCTCTTTCCTTGTCCTCAATCTTCTAAAACTCAACAAAATAATAAACCTACCCTTAAATAATAAACGTTGACACCTTAGGCCATCAACAACGGTGGGTATCTCAACAAGTGTATCTTTACAATTAATATATATTATTTTTTATTTTAGTTTTATTATGTAATTAAATTTAATACATAAATAGAGATGAACCAATAAAATTCAAACATGTGGCAAGAGAGGTTTTTTAGAAAGTTGGCCAAGTTCTTTTTAGAGAATCGATTCTCTCTCTTTCCTCTTTTTTAACACATTTTCTATTATTTTAATAGTGAGAGATTGGTTAAAGAACCCCGTTGGGGTTGCTCTTAGTTCAACAAAATAACAATCATCCTCAGAAAAAAAAAACCACAAGAGTTGTGCTTGTACCCTTTTTTATTACTACTACTGCCGTCACAGCATCAATAAGAATTATGCTTCTGCTGCCTTGAAACAATTTTTGGATGTAAAGAAAAGGCACAAATCTAAATCATAGTTGCTGTTTAGAAGTGGAAGGCAATAAGATCTAAAGGACGAAAGTGAAAGTGAGAAAACACGGTCATCATTACTCTGACTAAGAAAAGTAAACGAGTACAATATGACCGGCGACTCCCGGTCCCGGTATACACTTGAGCCACCGACAAAGCTCCCCCTGGTTTACATGTAACGGCATCATTCACGACGACCGATCTTCACGGTTCGTAACGTAAACGATCCATGTTTTTCAATGCCTCGTTTAAAATTCTGCACTCACTCAGCCATTGCTTTTTCACGAGCCGTAGAGAGAGAAAAAGAAAGTGGCTTTTTTACGGTTTTCAAGAGAAAGAAAAAGCTCACTTTTTAGGAACAAAAAAAAAACGGGTTTCTTGGTGATCCCAAAGTGACAAAAAAACGGGTTTCTTGGTCTCGTTCTGTTTCTTCCTCGTGATTTCTCAGTCACTCGTAAATTTTCCGTTATTTTCATTTTCCTCTGTTTCCATCTTTTGTAGTATATAACTTCTTGTTCTTTTTTTTACTTGGAAACTGAAACATCAATCATCGTGTTCTAAAGGGTAATTCTTGAGTGAATCAAATCTAAATGATCAATATTATTGCTGTGAATCACTAGATACACAAGTGCATGCACTCATTTCTATTAGCAACTAGAAAATTGGGAGAATCTATTGATTGCTTCTGTGGGGCTTAACTTTTTTTTAGTATTATACTATAAAAGAACTTAATTTTTTTCATGTGGATTGAGACAAACCATAACAAGTGCCGATAACATTGTCGTTTTCCTTCTTATATCCTAACTTGCCTTGGATTTCAGGAATATACGCAACTGAGTTTTTGTCCTCTTCCTCTGTTTCAGACTATTGATCACAGCTGTTCTTTCTCATGCTTTACTCTGAAAGACTGAAAGTTGTTAAGTAACTGTTGCTTTGTCTGCAATGGAGAAAAACTGAAAAGAGTTTGGTGATGAAGGGAAGAACAACCAACAATGTTCAGACGAACCAATCTACGAAGAATGGGAAAAGAGATCAAAAGCTACAGAAGATGAACAGTGCTAAAAAATCGTCAGGGCAAGAAAGACTCAAGCCTTTGGATGAAGCTAAAGTCTCTGAAGTAGTAAGTGATGTTATAACACAGTCAAATCAGGAAAATAAAGATGTTACGAATGGGTCGTCAGGTCATTATCAAGAGTCCGAGACTAGTGTAATTGAAGAGAAAACCAAGAAAGAAGAGAGTGCAAATGGCTCTGTTTGTGGTTTTGTGAAAGATGATGAGGAAGAAATAAAGGAGTATGATACTACTACTAATTCAAAAACAGATTCTGTTCCCCTTTCGGAAACTTGTGAAGGTGTCAGAGAGGCTCATTTGGCTAAAGAAGTCGAAGATTGGGAAGATACTTCAAATGGTGGCATTAGCTGCGGAAGTGAGAACGAGGCAGGTGAGGATGAAGAAGTTCTGAAACAGAAGGTTGAGAGTTTGGAGACAAGAATTGAGAAACTCGAAGAAGAGCTAAGAGAAGTTGCATCTCTTGAGATTTCACTCTATTCGGTTGCACCAGAACACTCTAGCTCAGCTCACAAGCTTCACACCCCTGCTCGAAGAATTTCAAGACTCTATATTCATGCTTGTAAACATTGGAGTCAAGGAAAGCGAGCTACCGTCGCTAGAAACTCGGTGTCTGGTCTCATTTTAGCTGCTAAATCTTGCGGAAATGATGTTTCGAGGTAACACTATTTAAAGTTATGTGTGTATTAGCTTTTAGTAATTGATCTTCTCATATTTTTCTTGGTTCTTATGTATTAGGTTGACCTTCTGGTTATCGAACATCATTACTCTGAGAGAGATCATTTTGCAGGCATTTGGTAAAGCTAGTGTTCCTAGTCATTTCACAGAGACCTCTAAATCAAATGCGAGTGAACAAATTGCTTTAGGGAAGCCAAGAAGGAAGAAGAACCAATGGAATAAGCAGTCAAATGGTTTCAAGCAGGTTTTCGAAGATTGGAAAGAAATGGAAACCTTCACTTCTGCATTAGAGAAAGTAGAATTCTGGATTTTCTCTAGAATCATTGAATCTGTTTGGTGGCAGGTGAAAATTCAAGAAAGACTCCTTCATTCATTGTAATTTTAAGAAAGGTTCCTTCTTTGAAATATGTTCTTGTTCTCTTTTTTCAGGTCTTCACTCCTCACATGCAATCACCGGAAATTGGCGGTAAAACGATTGAGAAACTAATGGGACCTGTCTTGGGAGATCATGTTCAAGGAAGTTATTCAATCAACTTATGGAAAAACGCTTTCAAAGTTTCTCTATCCTGGCTCTGTCCAATGCGTGGAGCAGGGCATGAGTGCGGTTGCTTACCTATCTTGGCTAAAATGGTATTAAGTTTCTACATTTGAAAGTTCTAGCCAATAAAATACACTATGTAAAAGCTATTGGAATCTTAACTTCTATATATAAATTCTCTCTATATTGTGTAAAAGGTGATGGAGAAGTGTATAGCTCGAATTGATGTAGCCATGTTCAATGCAATTCTGCGTGAGTCAGAGCATCAGATTCCCACGGATCCCGTCTCTGATCCTATCCTAGATTCTCAAGTTCTGCCTATCCTTGCTGGAGACTTGAGTTTTGGATCCGGGGCACAGCTTAAAAACTCGGTACAACATCAAGAAACATAACCAGATTGTTATATTCACTTAACATGAGAAAGTACTAATGTTGTTGAATGTTGTGATCTCTTGCTTTTAGATTGGAAATTGGTCAAGATGCCTCGCTGAAATGTTCTCCATAAACACTGGAGATTCAGTAGAAGAAAATGATCCCATAGATAGCGAGAAATGCTTCAGTTTGCTAAATGAACTTAGTGATCTACTTATGCTTCCAAAAGATATGTTAATGGAACAATCCATCAGAGAAGAGGTTTAGTTTTGATATCTCTGTCACTCTTTAAGTTCTTGATTAAGCTTTTCTTATCACATAACATAGTTATTGAATGATGCATAGGTATGCCCATCAATAAGTCTTCCGTTGATAAAAAGAATACTCTGCAACTTTACACCTGATGAGTTCTGTCCTGATGGTGTCCCTGGAGCTGTCCTAGAAGAGCTTAACGCCGAGGTAACAATTTTTTTTTGCTTATATGTGCACTCACAATACTTTTTCTCTTCTTATAATATGTGCACTCACTATACCTTTTTTGTTTGTATCTCATAAGGGCATGTCGAAGCAGAAGTTATCAGGAGTTAGCTTCCCTTATGCGGCTCCTCCTGTTTCTTACATTCCTCCATCATCAATCAATGTAGCAGAGAAAGTTGAAGAGGTAGAAGGAGACATCTCTAGGATGTCGAGGAATGCGTCGATGATACAAAGAAAAGGATACACGAGCGATGAAGAGCTGGAGGAATTAGATTCTCCTCTTACATCTATCATTGAAAACGTATCGCTGCCACCAATTTTAACACAGAACAGTAATGTGAAGCAGCAAGTTGAGCAAATAGGTGCAGTGGTTACAAATGCAAGATATGAGCTACTTAGGGAAGTGTGGTCTATGTGAGTGATTGGAAGCCAAATATCGAGCTCTTTAGGGAAAACTCATTGTCACCATCTACTGAAACAAACCAAGTCTTGTCGAATTTACATGTAGCCGTAAGTATTTGATCCGATGAATATGCCCCCTAGCGAATTGTATTTAGCCTTTAGCTACCTTTTTCATGGAAATGTTCTTTTGTTCCTTTGTTGTTGCCCCTCCTTAAGAAACCATCAAAATTCTAGTAATGTTTTTCTTCTGACAACTCTGTCAACGTTAGACAAAAGGTGTTTTATTGGAATTTGAATCTAGCATGTCAGTTAAGACCAAGAAATGGATATAAATGCAAACAGAATCTGAGCACAAATCGTTGAAAACAGCTTATATACTTTGCAAGTGAGATAGAGCACAACACTGGATGAGGAAGAAAGAACAAAACCTAAATCTTTGAACTGTTCTAACTACATAAATTTCCCACCAGGATTCAGAAGCAAACAATATACAAGTAACTACATTTTAGTGAGCTCAAAGGAATTAGCATTAATTTCCTGAACAAGAATACTCTTCCAACATTGCTCTGATGGTTTTTGTATAAAACGCATAGATATAATAATGTGTAGAAAGAGAACTTGTAGTATTTAATTGTTTTGACGAAAAGAAAAGAAATTTAAAGGGTATTTTCTAAAAGTCCCACATCGACAAGTTAGAGAGCGTTGGTCATAAGCTTGGTAGTATAAATAAGAAGCTGTGCCTTCCGTTCAAATCATACCTTTCTCGGCCATTTGGCTAAGATCAAGTGTAGTATCTGTTCTTATCAGTTTAATATCTGGTATGTGAGCCATCGGCTTATTCGATATTAACTCTATTTTTTAAGGGAGAAAGCTCATGAAGATAGCTTGCTATCTGAGCTTTTGCGAGTCGCCCATGCGTTGCACTACTGCACGGGCCTGGCTCAACCCGCCAGTCTTATAGTTAGAAATTTGTTTATCAAAGTTTCTTTCCAATGTTGATACTTCAGACTGAAGTTACAATGGCTTTCCTGGAAGTTATAACTATTAACTACAAAAGGAATATTGTTGTGTGTGCATCCTATGGAGCTCATCTGATTCAAGATGCATCTCAACGCCAGTTTTTAAATTTCTCAACCAACCTGAGGGGATTTAGCCACTTGAATCATATTAAATTCTCCTCTTACATCCATCCATAATGAAAAATATTGCTGTCACCAATTTCCACACAGAACAGGAATGTGAAGCAGCTAGTTGAGTAGATAGGTGCAGTGGTTACAAATGCAAGATATGAGCTAATTAAGGCAGTGTGGTCTATGTGAGTGACTCGAAGCCAAATATCGAGCTCTTTAGGAGAAACCAAGTCTTGACATGTAGCCGTAAGTATTTGATCAGATGCATATGCTCATAGCGTATTGTATTTAGCTAATATATTTGCTACATTTTGTTTCCTGGAAATTTTGTTTTGTTTCTTTGTTTATTATCCTCCTCAAGATACCATCAGAGTACAATGTTTTTCTTCTGACAACTCTCTCAATGGTAGACAAAAGGTGTTTACTGGAATCTATAATGTCAGTTAAGACCAAGAAAAGATATAAATACAAACAGAATCTGAGCTCAAATCGTTGGAAACAGCCTATACTCTGCAAATGAGATAGAATCATAAACCTGGAGGAGGAAGAAAAAACAAAACCTAAAATCTTGGAACTGCTCTGACTACAACAGGATTGAAAAACAAACATTTATCAGCTCAGACTGTACCAAGAATTCAAGAAAGCTTCCTAATTCAAGCATCATTTTAGTGAGCTCAATGGAAGCAGCATTAATGAGTTTGCTTTTTATAAGTTCCATTTTTCTTCCTCTGGTTTTACATAATTCTGGGATCACTGGCAAATAACACAGAGAAATTAGAGAATAAAGATGAGTAGAAAAGAGAACTTGTAGTATTATTTTGTCTTCTTCATATGTGTTTGACGAAAAGAGGAAGACTAAAGGGTTTTTTTCTAAAAGTCCCATATCGACAAGTTAGAGAAAATTGGTCATAAGCTTTGTGGTATAAATAAGAAGCTGAGCCTACCGTTCGAATCATACCTTTCTCGGCCTTTTGCCTAAGATCAAGTGTAGTATCTGTTCTTATCAGTTTAATATCTGATATGTGGGCCATCGGCTCACACGATATTAACTCTTTTAAGGGAGAAGGCCCGTTAAGGTAGCTTGCTATCTGGGCCTTCGCGAGTCGCCCATGCGTTGCACTACTGCTCGGGACTGGCTCAATCCGGCAATCTCATAGTTAAGAAGTTGTTCATATCCTTCTTGCTTTCTGAATTGATAAGAATTGATCTATCAACAATAGTAGGTAATAAATGATGTCGGTTTCTGTCATTCAAGTCCGAAACATGCAAAAAACAAAGGATAAGTAAATATGTCGTTATCTATCCTGTGACCTTATCTATCTCTATTCATGGAAAATATTCAGACTGCAGTTAGTAGAAATTAACTAGCTTATGAATGTTAGACTGAAGTTACAATGGCATTCCTGACCTTGAACTATGGTTAGGAGCAATCATTTGATGCATCTCAACACCAATTTGTAGATTTCTCAATCAGCCTGAGCTCTTTAGCCACTTGAATCATGCTAGTCAGCGGGTCTCCTAAGTTGCTGCATCCAATGCATCTCAACGCTAATCTAAGAAAGGCTTTAACCGGCCAAGCAGCTGGATCACTGATATCTGAATCTACAACCTCTGCATACCCAAACTTTCTCAGTATCTTAGAAACATGATGGTGAAGCGGGAAACGAGCATCGTCATGAGGTTTGACGAACAAGTCAGCTAATGCTCTCAGCATATCCGAAGAGAGGGATAGCTCATCATCAACTTCCTTAATCTGCACAAGAGCTAGCATGAATGCTCCAAAACTGTGCATATCAGTTTTTGTGGTGACCTTTCCGGTTGATATGTAATCCGGATCAATGACAGGTAAGTTACATACACCAAGCCCATGTGTTCCCTTTAATGTGTTGTGCCTAAAGTCATGGTATTTTTGCAATGTATCATCATGAACAAATGTCTCTCCTTCGGGTATTGGGACACAGTTGCAGAAGTTCCCCAGCTTTGTGACCCCATTTCCATCTAAGAAAATGGTGAAAGGGTCTAGATTTGAATGGATGAAAGCCCTTGAGAATGCTGTGTGAAGGTAAGTCAAAGCGTTTGCAACCTCTCTTGCTATCTTTATCCTCCTCAGATCTCGCGGGTGAGATGCAAGCAGTGGACCAAGAGTTATAATCTCTGCATACTCAAAAACTAAGACAGGAGGAGTGAAGTCAAGGGAACAACCCAATAGCTTGAGGAAGTTCTTATGACCACTGACCATCGATGAGATGGCTATGTCGCGGCAAATCTCTTTGGTATCAAGTGTGTATTTCCCTTTCTTGATGAGTACCGGGCGGTCATCGAGCATACCTTTATAGCAACGGTAGTAAACATCAATCCGGGAAGCACGGTTACTTTGGGAGAAGTTATCTGTTGCTTTGATGATCTGATCATAAGAGTAGTTGTTGATGGGATTGCATTTTCCATCACAGCAATCAACCAGCTGTTTCAGAACAACCGCACCATTCTCGTTGACATTTCTCTGCCGTGTCTTGGCTCCGATTGTTTTCCTTCTCAACCAATCCATCTTATAGACAGACTCTACAAGGTTTCTTCTTTATAGCAAATGAAGACAAAAGTTCATCTGTGTGAAAACTTCCCATAGAAACTCCATTGACCCACCCTATATAGTTCAAATCATTGGAACTGCAATGGAGAAAGTAGATTATATTTCCGTAAAATAAATCCAATCCCACAATTTATGATCATCTATGATGTCCACAAAACAACTGAATTTTTTTTTCTGATATATGTTGCAATCAAAGAACTAATGAACACCAAAACTGAAAGGGAGATGCCTCGACAAGAACATGAACACTAATCTCTAATAATGTCTACAAAAATGAAAGTTGTACCTCAGAAGCGAAAGCACCATGAATGCTGCAGAATAAAGACAAGGAAGGAAGCCATATCATATATCATCAAAATAGGATTATATTAATTACAAAAAAAAAAGTGGTCGGCAAAGGAAAAAGTTGACTTTGAGAAGCATCAGACTCTGAATGTGTTCACACTTCACACTTGGTTTGTTTCACATTGAAGGCAAAAGTTAAAATATCCCAGCCTTGCCCAGTTAATCTGGGAAGCACGGTTACTTTCGGAGAAGTTATATGTTGCTTTGATAGTCTGATCTCGATGACTACTAGTAACTTCTGAGATTTGAAAGCTACGTAATCATCTACTATAAAATTACATGATAAACAAGCTTTTTGGTGTCAAAAACGTTGGTAGTAACTCATAAGTAGCCTTAATTGGCAATATAAATCAGCTCTAAGATTTTGATGGTCTTAAGAAGCTAAGCATCACTTGCAACTCATTCTTTTCTCTGCCTTAATAATAAAAAAATTGAATATCAGTTCATACATATAGATTTAATAATAATTATCATTATATATAATTGGGGGAAAAAAGAAGAAGATAAAAGTTTGGTTATTTATCCCAAGAATAACAAATATCATATTTTCCGGTTCGTGAATCAAGAGCACATACTCCATTTCTTCTTACGGTCCAAAGACAGTGTTGGCACTGATATCCCGGAACATTGTCTCTGCTATCTTTATAAATAGTAAAAGTATGTTTTTCACCCCCAAAACTAAATATACAATAATGTTCCGTTTCTCCCCATAACCACAGATTTCTCGTAAAGTCAGCGATTCTTATCGTCGCCCAAGGCAAAAATTTTATGTGATAACCAGTCTTCGAGTTCGACTTACTAGTACTACTCTGGCAATTCAAGTGTAGCACCATCCCATCCAGCTCGTTTGTTACGATCACTTGTATTATCGGGAATATGCTCCATTTATATATATCCTTCCCCACCACTACTCCAGTTTGAGACAATGCTACATTCAAGAGCGACGCTAGTATCACCAGAGTTATCACTTTTCTTTGGCAGCCCATTTTTTTATTTATTTTTTTATTTATTATTCTTTCTTAGCTTTTGTTTAATGGTTTGCATTATTGTTTCATTGCATTTCATACATTTATACTGTCTTTAATTTTTTACATGTTAAGTTGTAACTGAATTCGCGTTAACTAATTATAACGTTTGACTAGCTTCGGGTGGTTTATAATTAATTAAAGTAAGAAAAAAAACAACATTTACAGTAAGTATTAGCCTGTTCTTTTGATAAATTATTACCGTTTTGTATTATTTTGAAACAACACACCATTGTTAATGTTTACATTTAAAGATATAATTGTAGGTTATGTTAAAGCAAACATTATCCAGCTATTTTCTAAAAGAAAGTTTCCTATAGTGTGTATGTTATCGAAAGATTTAACTCCTTTGTTTGTTTCTTTTTAACATCTAATTATTTATGAATCAATTTGATTTTTCATGATGGTCATGATTCACACCAATAGACATGTAGTACTGGAATTTACAAGGACCAACCACTATGTCGTTTGAAAAAATGAATCCCACATGTCTAAATTTGTCTTCCCACAGTTTCGGATATAGAAAACGTCACTCGTCAAGATATATACATACTACACCGAATGCAATTTGATTTGATGATCTAGAAAGAGGGTCAAGGGTTTAAAGTTCAAACCAAGAAACAAATAATAAACTACTTAATTACCTTAGTCTATTACAAATATACAACAAAGGTGGGTACTGATCATTACATGATGATCATGATCCCCAAACCAAATCCTACAGCATGCCATCAAATGTTAAAAGATACTAACTCATAGAGACGCAAAACATGATGGAAGGGAATTTTATCACAAATCGTTAAAGACTAACTCTTAGCTCTTCTTCAAGTTTCTCAATTCTTGTCTCCTAACTCTCAACCTTCTGTTTCAGTAGTTTATCATCCTCACTTTTATCTTTGACGTCATCACCTGCCTCGTTCTCACTTCCACCTCTAATGCCACCATTTGAAGTATCTTCCCAACCTTCGACCTCTTTGACCAAATGAGCCACTCTCTTACCGACACTGACACCTTCACAAATTGCCGAAAGGCACTATCATGAGTATTTTACTCAAATACATTTTACTCCTAAGTTTTAGTTTCATATACATGCGAGTATATAAACCACATTGTAACAACTTATTTCATTAATGAGAATGTTATGATTTTTGGTCACTCTCTCTCTTCAGCTCTCTCTCTCTCTTACTCTTCATCTTCAACCTCTCGATTCATCATGTATCTGTGGTGATCTTGATATGGTATCAGAACCAGGTTTATTGGCATGCAAACCAACTGATGTGCCTATGGATCCTTATGTGACTTTGACTGGTGAATCTGGCTTACCTTTGGACACACCAAGATTATACCGAGAGTTGGTGGGACGACTTCTATATCTGACTATCACAAGACCTGACATAACCTATGCAGTACACAAGCTTAGTCAGTATATTCAAGCCCCGACAGATCAACATCTTCAAGCTGTATACAGAGTACTCAAATATCTTAAAGGCAGTCCAGGTCAGGGTCTTTTCTACTCTGTAGATACAGAACTTTGCATAAACACTTTTGCAGATGCTGACTGGGGAACATGCAAAGACACCAGAAGATCAGTTTCAGGATTTTGTGTCTATTTGGGAACTTCATTGATAAGCTGGAAGTCTAAGAAACAGCAAGTTGCAAGTCATAGTAGCACAGAAGCAGAATATAGAAGCTTGGCTGAGGCAACAAGAGAAGTTTTATGGATACAACAGCTTCTGCAAGCGTTTCATGTTCGTGTGATTACAACAGCAAAGTTATTTTGTGACAACAAGTCAGCTATATACATCGCAACAAATCCAGTGTTTCATGAGCGAACAAAACACATAGAGATTGATTGTCACATTGTCAGAGATCAGATCAAGCTTGGGAATCTTAAAGCTCTTCATGTTTCAAGTGAGAATCAGCTAGCAGATATTCTGACAAAGCCTCTGCATCCGAAGCCTTTTCACTCTTTGCTTGTTAGAATGTCACTTTCAAACCTTTATAATCCTACACTATGTTTGGATTCAAAGGTTTGCGGGGGTGTATCATGAGTATTTTACTCAAATACATTTTACTCCTAAGTTTTAGTTTCATATACATGCGAGTATATAAACCACATTGTAACAACTTATTTCATTAATGAGAATGTTATGATTTTTGGTCACTCTCTCTCTTCAGCTCTCTCTCTCTCTTACTCTTCATCTTCAACCTCTCGATTCATCATGTATCTGTGGTGATCTTGATAGGCACTTTGCATTAGCAGTAGCAACATACTCGTTGCCCTCTTCCTCATCATCATTATCATCATCTTTAACCAAATCACAAACAGAGCCATTTTGACTCTCTTCTTTCTTGGTTTTCTCGTCAATTACACCAACTTTTCTCCATTGCAGCCAAATCAACAGTTGCTAATAAAAATGAGTGCATTCACTTGTGTATCTAGTGATTCACAGCAATAATATTGATCATTAAGATTTGATTCACTCAAGAATTACCCTTTAGAACGATATGATAACGTTTCAGTTTCGAAAGAAAATGAAAAGATAAATACTTCAAAAGATTTGAAACAGATGAAAGACATTAACACATTAAGACATCACTAAAACTTTCTTAGAGGTTATCATACTTTCAAGAATATTAAATCTAACAAATGAAGGAAGACTAACTAAGAGAGTTTCTCAATCAATTTGAGCTCTTTGGCAACTTCAAGCATACCACTCACTGGATCTTCTTTCTTGTATCTTACACACCTCAAAGCTAACCTCAGAAAAGCTTCAACCTGTGACCGTCTCAGAACCAAATCATCATCACCACCACCACCAAAATCTTTCCATATCTCCTTATCAACAATCTCATCAAAGCCATTTCTCTCCACTACCTCGGACACATGATCGTTAAGGGAGATAGGAGTCTCTCCAGGTCCATTAAAGACAGCAGCTCTTCCAGACAACAAAACCAACATCACAACACCAAAGCTATAAATATCAACTTTCTCTGTAACTTTCATTGTCCAGTAATAATCTGGATCAACAAAACCAATCACACCTTTGACAGCATCTTCTACAAAGAGTTCTCCTTCTGGTATTGCAACACAGAACCAGAAATCAGAAAGCTTCGCCGTCCAATTCTTGTCAATGAAAATGTTCGTCGGATTTATATTCCGATGGATTATAGTCTCTGGAAACGCCGTGTGGAGATAAGTCACAGAACTAGCTATCTCTTTAGCAATCTTCAATCTCACTTTCCAAGGCAAAACCTCTCCGCTTGAGATTCCACCGTCTCTATTAAGCGGTCCGTGTTCTGTGTACTCACAGACTAAAACTGGAAGATCAAATTCCAGACAACACCCTATAAGCTTAAGAGCATTCTTGTGTCCACTCATCTGAGAGGATACAGAGATATCTCGATACGCTTCTGTGAAGCTTGAGAGATTTTGACTCGACCATTTCTTGATCGAAACTGGTCTGTCTTCGATCACGCCTCTGTACCAAATGAAATATCCCCAACTGGAGATAACTCGGCTCTCGGAGAAATTGTCAGTCCCTTTAAGGATTTGATCGGAGGAGAAGCAACGAATCGGATTGGTTTTGCCGTCGAACGAAGCGATTAGCTCCTCCAACAGAATCCCTCCGTTCTTCAAATCCAATCTTTTTTTCTTCTTCTCGTTCCTTCTCATTAGATGATTGGAGCAGAGAGTGAGAAGACAAATTCGAAAGTAAAAATCTTACAGAGAAAAATCGTAACTTTGGTTTTTGCAAAGGAGCAAACTTGATTTGTTCTTCTTCCTCACAACTCAGAAGTCAGAAGAGAGTCATAACTGAGTGGTCAAATTCCGACAAATTAGATATTTATATTTTATCCGTATCTTTTCAATTACTCGAAGCTTCACCCAATACATTTATATTATCAAATCTCCACCCCAATTAGACATTTCAATTTGATCCACATCTTCTTTACTATTACACATTGACCCAGAAAAAAATGTAATAGCTACTCTTTGCTCAATAATTGCTACTCTATGTCAAAGTGAGTATTGCTATTTCTGAAATAGTATCTCACAAAGCCTCAAAGGTATATATAGGACCAACGATAAATAAATCAGTTTGATCCAAATATTTTTTACTATTACAAATACATCCAATAGATGTTGTAAAATTCACTCTATGTGCATCTCTCAATCCTTTTTAGTTCCTTGGCAACTTCCATCATCTTTGGAACATCACCTCTATGGCCAGTGCATCTGAGTGAGAGCATAAGGACTGCTTCCATTCGCCGTATCTTGTGTTCTTCGGTTTCATCATCACCCATACTTTCCAATATATTTGGATCCAGCACCTCAAAGATTCTCTCCTCTTGCACAAATATGGATATTCTATCTGAAATCCTCATATTCATTACATTTTGTTTGTCTTCAAACTCTTCAAATAGACTCTCATCTTCACTGCAACAATAATCAACCACTCCATACATTCTCGTGAAAAAGTTTTGCAACAACACTCCAAAGCTAAAAACATCGGTATACTCAGTGATCAGTCCGGTGGCAGCATAGTTGTACTCAAGATAATCTAATGTTCCTTCTACTCTATCAGCATGAACCTTAACAAATGTCTCTCCTTCAGGAATTGAGACACAAAGACAAAACCCACTTAACTTTGCTGTCCCATTTGAATCCAAGAAAATGTTGGAAGGTTGTATATCGGTATGAATCATAGTTCTTGAAAACGTTGTATGAAGGTAAGAAACCGCGATTGCAATCTCTTTCACAATCTTTATCCTCATTCCCCATGGCAACAACATGTCCGGGTTTGGAGTATTATTGAAAGGTATACGTTCTGCATACTCACAAACTAAGACCGGATGCTCAAATTCAAGGCAACAACCTAACAATTTGAGGAAATTCTTGTGACCACTCACCATCGATGAGACAGCAATGTCACGACAAATCTTTTCTAATGTATCAGATTTGTATAAACTCCATATGGCTCTTTTGATTAGAACAGGACGGTTTTGGAGCATACCTCTGTACATGAACTCGAATCGAACCACAAGATTGCTCTCGCTGAAGTTGTCTGTGGCTTCGAGGATTTCGTTAGCAGAGAAGGTTTTAATTGGATTGGATTTGCCATTGCAAAGCTCGATGAGATCTTCCAAGAGTACCTTCCCGTTCTCTTGGAACAATCTTAGCCGTTGATTTGCTTCTAAGTTCTTCTTCAGCTTCTTCGTCGTCTTCTTACTCCAAAATCTCATCTTCTGATCATTCCTCAGCAAGTCAGCATCAAAGACTCGACGGTGAGACTGGTTCAAAGGAAAGTGTATGATTGATTTTTGTTTGTCTTTCTTTCGATTTCTAAAACATTTAAGGTCAACGAAATACAAATAATTAAAATATTAGTTGATATTTTAACCTTTAAAAATTTGTCTTTTTATCAGAACGATATAAAAAGTTGTTTGGGTCAATTTTTTTTGGTTAGATTTTTTTTTTGTCAGTTTTTTTTGGAGCTTAAATCGGCGATGAGATCATCTTGGAGAAGGAAGAAGACTGTGAAATGCGTCATCGAAGGAAGACCTTACACGATTAAAAGTTTTACAGAGTCAGAGTTTACAGCAGAGAGAGTTAGAGAGGTTTACAACGACATTGTCTTATCTAGTCGGGTAAGCAATCAAAGTAGTTTTCTCAAACTTCTGGGATGTTCTCTCGAGTTTCACCTTCCGGTTATAGTGTTTGAATACCCAGAGAATGGAGTTTTGAACGACCGAGGAGGTTTTGGTTGCGATGAGGCAACTTTGACTACCATCAACCTTTACGAGCATTTCTTCATTGATCTGAAAAAGATTATGGAGTTCTGGAGAAACAAGGGCAAAGAGAGGAAGGAAATACTGATCTTTAATGGAATCGATGGTGAAGAAGCTTAGGTGGAATCTGGGATCTGGGCCGTCCAGGAAAAGGAAGAAAAAAGACATTCAGAAAGAAAGGTGGTTCTTGGCCAATGGAAGAATCTTCTTGAAAGAGCTTATTGCTGATTGTGACGGTAAATCCATTCCTATACTCAGCTTTTCTTCTGACCAGATCCTTCAAGCTACCAATAACTTCGATTCCAGTTGTTTGGTCTCTCGAGAAGCCCTCTACAAGTGGTATAGAGGTATCATTAAGGATAAGTCTTACATGATTAAAAAATTCATCGAGGATAGAGTTATAGAACGTGGAGTTGGAGAGGCTTACAATGAAATTGTTTTGTCTGCTCGGATGAGCAACCACAGCAATTTTCTGAGATTATTTGGATGCTGTTTTGAGTTTAGTTTTCCGGTTTTCGTGTTTGAAGATGCAGAATATGGAGCTCTGAATTGGCAAGGACATATTATGGTTAACGGGGAAGGATCTATATTGCCATGGAGTGTTCGGTTGAAGATCGGAAAAGAGATTGCAAATGATGTGACTTATCTTCACATGGCCTTCCCTAAGATCATTATACATAGAGATATTAACCCAACCACAATTTTCTTGGACAAGAATTGGACCGCAAAGTTGTCTAATTTCTCACTCTCCGTTACACTCCCTGAGGGAAAGTCAAGAATAGAAATTGAAGGCGATCAGGGAACATTTGGGTACCTCGATCCTTTAAAATTAACATCAAACGTTGTGACATAATATACTGATGTTTACAGCTTTGGAATCAGTTTGTTGAATGTTCTCACCGGAAAACCATCTTACTCTTGCACTGGACCTGATGAGAGTTACGAATGTATTACTGACTATGCCAAATACTTATATGAGAATGGGAAACTCGATGAAGTAATTGATCTAATCATGATTGAAGAAGGCATCACAAGTACTCAAAGATTGCAGGTGGAAGCTTGTGTGGTGCTTGCTTTGAGCTGCTGCAAGGGGAGAGATGAAGACAAACCAAAGATGATCCAAGTAGCTAAAGAACTCAAGCGGATTGAGCGAATAGAGCAGTCCCTAGATGTTACATCTGGATTTTTAAAGCCTGAGATGCTGGAAGATGGGTCAAGCATGGTCAAGTGGACAAAGAAATTCGGAATCAAGATTGAGATCATGGTCATACTAAGTTTCTGCATCACTGGATTTCTTATTGCATTACTTTTTGGGTAAAGCTTTCGAACATGTAGAATGGTTCTAAAGTTTCCGTAGAATTTGGGCTAAGTTTCTGTATCACTGGATTTCTTATTGAACTAAGGCGTGTGTTTCTAAGCTGAAATCCTATAAGCATTTATGTTTGGAATTTGGGTTTGAATACATTAAAACTAATTTCTGTATTGGGCGGCAAAGATGTAACTTCATGAGTCTTCTGCGTCGATCATTTACACTACATATATGATTTCAAAAATTGCAGATTTTCCGCTTCAGAAACAACTTTTACTTCTCACAAGGAGGCAACTGCTTAACATTATTTACATGTAAAGATGCTTTTGAACTGACCACCAAGTGAACATGTTTCTTACTCTAACACTGCTGGCACTTATGACGCTGAGATACCAAGATGGAACATGAACCCTGGATTTGAGTCTCAAACTACTGTTACATGGCCACAGAGGTTTGAAAACAGAGAAATACATTTTATGATGGGGAGGGTTTTAGTTCTAGACTTGGACACAAAGAGTGATTTGTCACAATTTTAGAGTTTGTTTGGGACTTAAGACGCTTTGACAAGTCCTTCTATGGAGCTGAGTATTTTTGACCAAATCGACCATCTTTCAAACTGGGAAAAGGTACTGTCTTTTGTATTAAAAGTTTGGTTTTAAGAAGCTTTCTCTAAGAAAATCACCAAGAATTTATCTATATTAGTTAAATGGAATCGATGGGGAAGAAATTGAAGCAATATCTGAGATCGGGGTCCACGAAAAAGAAGGAAAGATGGTTCTTGGAGAACGGAAGCGTTTTCTTAAAAGAGCTCATCGCTGACTGTAATGGTAAATCCATTCCTATACGCAGCTTTACTTCTTCTCAGATCCGTAAAGCCACCAAGAATTTCGATTCCAGTTGTTATGTCACTGAAGAAGGTTTCTACATATGGTACAGAGGTGTAATCGAAGATAGATCTTACATGATCAAGAGATTCTCTGAGTATAAAGTTACAGATCGCAGAGTAGCAGAGGTTTACAAAGACATAGTCTTGTCTGCTCGGATGAGCAATCATAACAATTTTCTTAAACTATTAGGATGTTGTCTTGAGTTCCCTTTTCCGGTTCTTGTGTTTGAAAATGCTGAACATGGATTTCTGAATCATCGAGGAGGTGTTACGGTAAACGGGCATGAATCTTTATTGCCTTTGAGTTTAAGGTTGAAGATTGGGAAGGAGGTTGCAACTGCTTTGGCTTATCTTCACATGGCGTTTCCTAAGATCATCATATACAGAGATGTTAAGCCAATGCATGTTTTCTTGGACAAGAACTGGACTGCAAAGTTGTCTGATTTATCTTTCTCAATCTCGCTCGATGAGGGAAAATCACAGATAGAAGCTGAAGACGTGCTGGGTACATATGGGTACCTTGATCCATTATACTTTGCAACCAGACTTGTGACGGAATATACCGATGTGTACAGCTTTGGAGTCTTTTTGATGGTTGTTATGACTGGCAGATCGGTTTACTTCACCGGATCTGATGGGTATCCTCTAGGTATTCTTGGATATGTGAAAGGCTTATATGAGAATGGGAATCTCAGTGAAGTAATATGTCCTATGATGATGAAAGACATTACGAATGCTCAAAGATTGCAGGTGGAAGCTAGTGTTTTACTTGCACTGAGATGCTGCGAGGAGAGGGATGATGACAGACCGAAGATGATTCATGTAGCTAAAGAACTCAAGCGGATTGAACATCATTGTTAAAATCCTAGCTAGAGATCATCTTTATCCCATTACTCTGGAAAGTTTGGAACGCATATGATTACGGACCTGAAGAATGCCAAAGAGCTTTGAAGTGTTAGAAAGACTGATCAAAACGTCTGTCTGTGAACCAAACAATGTCTACTCTTTGAAGAGTTGTCTAAAAGTGTTTCCTGTATATGATCTTTCTCTGTTTTTCAGATTTCTCTCGTATCTTTGTTGATATGCAACATGAGCCTAGATGACTAGATTTCAGAATTGCCCTGATGGCGGCGTAAATGACACTGCAAAGTTATCTCTGCATCATTAATTTCAGAACTTACAAAGATGATTTACAGTACCCACTCACATCTATTCCACCAGCGTTTTCCTTAGGTATATCATAGAAATTGCTTATCATGGAAACAAGAACCGCTTCTGTTTAACAGGAAATTGCATTATAAATCCAAAACAATGGGATACATAAATGCACAGATACATAGATATATGTATGTATCTGTAGATGATATTTCTTTTCAGGCGTTTTTAGTGCAAGCATATATAGAAAAAGCACACTACACTCATACAAGGTCAAAGTTCACGTCATATGTTTCTCCGAGCTTTTCTGAACAATTCCTATATGTAACGAATCTGAGTTCCACACTTCAGGTAGAATTTTTTTATTCAAACTCTTGACTTCACACTCCAAGAACACAAAAGAAACCTCTTTAGCTAGACTCTTTCAATGATGTCTCAATCCGCTGGAGTCCATAGCTACTTGGATCATCTTTAAACTTTCTTCTTCTCTTCCTCGCAGCATCTCAGCTCAAGTAGGCAACACAAGATGAACACCTTTTTGCGGTTTCATTTCCCGCCGTTGACTATTTGTTCATACCGTTGACATTTTAAGAAATGTTTTTGAGACTTTAGTTTATAGATTTCTAGCTAGGATCTCCAAATAATGTCTGAATCTGCTTGAGTTCTTTAGCTATTTGTATCATCTTCGGTCTGTTGTCATCTCTCAGCTCGCAACATCTTAGCGCCAACACCACACATGCTTCCACAAGCACTTTTTGAGCACTTGTAATGTCTTCCATCACCTTCGGATCTATTAGTCCATCGAGCTGCCCATTCTCATGAAAGCCTTTCACGTAGCTAGCAATATGTTTGTAATCTCCATCAGAGCTAGTGGATGCAAGGGCTGGTTTACCAGTGAGAATAACCATCAAGAAGACTCCAAAGCTATACACATCGGTATATTCCGTCACCACTTTCGTAGTATAGTATAAAGGATCGAGGTACCCGACTGTTCCCTGGATGCATTCAACTTCCATTCTTGATTTCCCCTCAGGGAGGTTTATGGAGATGGAGAAATCAGACAACTTTGCCGTCCAATTCTTGTCCAGAAAAACATTCCTTGGCTTAATGTGTCTATGTATGAGGATCTTGGGGAACGCCATGTGAAGATAAGTCAGAGCATTTGCAATCTCCTTTCCAATTTTCAACCGCAAACTCAGAGGCAATAAAGAGTCTTCACCGTTAATGGTAACACCTCCTCGGTGATTCAAAACTCCATGTTCTGCATATTCAAACACAAGAACCGGAAGACTAAACTGGAGACAAAGTCCTGATAGTTTAAGAAAGTTGTTGTGGTTGCTCATCCGAGCAGACAGGACAATTTCGTTGTAAACCTCTGCTACTCTGTAATGTGTAACTTTATACTCGGAGAATCTCTTGATCATGTAAGATCTATCTTCGATGATACCTTTGTACCAAACGTAGAACCCCTCTGCGGTTACAAAACAACTGGAATCGAAGTTACTGGTGGCTTGCAGGATCTCGGAAGAAGAAAAGCTGCGTATAGGAATAGACTTACCATTACAATCAGCTATAAGTTCTTTCAAGAAGATGCTTCCGTTGTCCAAGAACCACTTCTCTTCCTGAATGTTCTTTTCTTTTTCCTTTCTTCTCTCGGATGATCCAGATCTCAGACTCTGCTTCAACTTCTTCAACATTGATTTCATCTAAACAAAGTTTATTGTTTCAGTTTTCCTCTTCGGACAAAAAGGACTTAGTATCTCTATGCATACAAAATTCCAACCATTGACATTTTGACAGAGACTCATCAGTCATCACACTTAGTTATCCACCGTTTGTCGTAGAAAACTTTTGGTATAGCGTGTTGTTGTTGTTGCCCACTTTATATCCATTGTTGGGCTTTATTTTTGCATAGGCCCTTATACTTGGCCCAATACAAATTCCACAGTTCTCAGAGTTCACTTGCTTCTTTTCTAGTCTGAAGTCAGCTAAGAACAGACTTTTGATTTTCCAGAAGCTTTTTAGGTAAGAAAGGTGTCCTCTTTATTCAACTCACTAGTCACCGACGAAAGGTCAATACTTCCTATGGGGGAACCATCATCTTTGTCACCAAAGAATTAGAAATTTGATAAAGGAAATTAATGAGGAAGCAGTATCTGAAATCTGGGTCTGGGACAAGGAAGGAGAAGGACAAGAAGAAGAGATGGTTCTTGGATAACGGAAGCATCTTCTTAAGAGAACTTATCGCTGATTGTAACGGTAAATCCATTCCTATTCGCAGCTTTTCTCCTGATCAGATCTTGAAAGCCACCAACAATTTCGATTCAAGTTGTTTCGTCTCGCAAGATGTATACTATAAGTGGTATAGAGGTCAAATCGAAGATAGGCCTTACATGATCAAGAGATTCGCCGAGGATGAAATTACAGGACACAGAGTTGAAGAGGTTTATAATGATATTGTCTTGTCTGCTCGGATGAGCAATCACAGCAACTTTCTTAAGCTGTTAGGATGTTGTCTCGAGTTTCCTTTTCCGGTTCTTGTGTTTGAATTTGCAGAACATGGAGTTTTGAATCAGCGAGGAGGTATTGTGGTTAATGGTGAAGAATGTTTATTGCCATTGAGTTTGCGGTTAAAGATTGGGAAAGAGATTGCCAATGCTGTGACTTATCTTCACATGGCCTTCCCTAAGATCATCATACATAGAGATGTTAAACCGATGCACGTCTTCTTGGACAAGAACTGGACAGCAAAGTTTTCTGATTTATCTTTCTCAATATCTCTCCCTGAGGGCAAATCAAGAATAGAAGTTGAATGGATCCTGGGAACAGCTGGGTACCTCGATCCGTTGTATTATGCCACCAGTTTTGTGACCGAATATACGGATGTCTACAGCTTCGGGGTCTTTTTGCTGGTTATTCTCACTGGCAAACCGGTTGTCTTCACTGGATCTGATGGAGATCCCCAAGGTGTTCTTAGCTATGTGAGACGTTTATTTGAGGATGGGAAGCTTGATGAAGTAATAGATCCAATGTTAATGAAGGATATCTCAAGTGGTCAAAGGTTGCAAGTGGAAGAATGTGTGGTGTTTGCTTTGAGATGTTGCGAGGAGAGAGATGAAGACAGACCAAAGATGATCCAAGTAGCTAAAGAACTCAAGCGGATTGAAACATCACTGAGAAATTCTAGCTAGAGATCCTCTAGGAACTTGATGAGATATACTTTGAGATATCCTCATAGAGATGGCATCACAAGAACATGGCTGAAGAAGATGGAAGTATTATTGGTGTCCAAAAGAAGAGCTAGTTTAAGTTACTTGAAATATGTATAGCTAAGTAAAATGTCCTTGGATTATGTAGTGTAGAAATTCAAGAGTCTCCGATTCAAAAGTTATCTTGGAAGAAATCTCGAAAATGAGAAGATCCTTACAACTTTTTACTACTAAAAACTGTATAAGAAATAGTTTTGTTTCGAGTCTCACTAGAAATATTTGTGGCGTCAGGTATGTTTTTCTATCTTCTTGAGTTCTTTTGCAATGTCTATCATACGAGGCACGTTCTCTCCTGGTCTGAATCTTACACATCTAAAAGCAAGCTCAATAAACGCTTCCATTTGCTGTCTTGAATGTTGGGGAATGTCGTCATTCACGCTGTCCAGCATCGACGGGTCTATCAGCTCAGCCAACAAACCTCGCTCTAGAAATTTCCCAAGATAAACAGCTACATCCGAATTGTATTCAGACTTTCCTGTCAAAAGAACTAGCATGATGATCCCAAGGCTATAGATGTCGACATTCTCGGTGACCAAACCTGTATTAAAGTACTCGGTTCGATATAGCTTGAAGTCCTGCAAACCATGTCTTTTACGCCCAATTCTCCCTCTGGAATAAGTATGCTGAGGCTGAAAGAAGAGAGTTTAGCAGACCAGTTCTTGTCCAAGAAAATATTTGCAAGCTTTAGATCCCTATGGATTATAGTCCTGGAGAATTCGGTGTGAAGATACGCTACAGCTTCTGCAATCTCCTTAGCGATCCGCAACCTTACATTCCAAGGGAATGGCCGGACACCTTCCTTTCCACGTCTGATACAGTTTAGAGCTCCATTTTCTGGGTATTCACAAACGAGAACCGGACGAGGAAACTCCATACAACACCCCAAGAGCTGGAGAACATTCTTATGGCTGCTCATCAAAGATGAAACCGCAATGTCACGGGAAAAGTTGTCAGCGTCAAAAACAGAACAGTCTCGGAATTTCTTGATCAGTACGGGTCTGTTTTCAATCATGCCTTTGTACCACACGAATCTGTCTTCAGAGATTACAAGGTTCCAGTCAAAGTGGTTTGTGGCTTGAAGGATTTGGTGGGATGAAAACGTACGGATGGGATTGTATTTACCTCCTGAAGTTGCAATGAGTTCTTCCAACAATAAGCTCCCATTCTTCTGGAAATTGATCTCCTCCTCTTTCTTCTGCTTCTTCTTCTTTTTTCTGAACAAACTCAACATCTCTAGTCCCAGAAAATGAGACCGAAGTATGAAGATTGTCTTGTGAGGAAAGGGACGCAAAGAAGAAAGAGAGTCAGAGATGCTATTGCTGGAACAAGTCAAGTCAACGAGGTCACTTTATATGATTGGAGCTTACGATAAGGTCAACAACTTAATAACTTACTCGTTGCAAAACATGTTATATAAAGTACATTCCTTTTATATATTAACCTTCCAAAATTAACAATATCAATTTTTTTTATAATATATATATATTTGCATATAATATATATTTGCTGACAATTTTTTTTTATAATCTTCACTATAGTCAACTTCTAGTATTTGTCTAATCTTCCCATCAGGAGGGGCTAAACCCAGATTTGAAATCAATACACTATCAGAGAAAGTTCGTTTATTCAAGAAATCACTTTCTCAGTTTTATTAATAAACAAGTGAAATGGAAATAGGTAGGGAGGAAATGAACAAGATCACATAATTAGTGTCTTTTTTTTTTTAATTATTACAGAATAATGAAAGATTAGCTTAGTGCAAGTAGTAGCTGAAGAGGGACACAAGGGAAGCCCCAACCAAAGAGCCAAGAGCTGGCAAAGCAGCCGAGGCGGCAGCTGTAGCGGGTCCTGGTGCCGGAGCTCCGGCTTCCTCAGCAGCCATGACGGCGGTCATAGAGGCAGCAGCGAAAAGCACACCGCAAGCAATCTTCTTCATCTCCATTGTTGAGACCTGAAAGGCTTTTTCTTTTCTTCTTTTTTTATTTAGTGTTTTTTTTTTTGTTTCTTTTTTTTTTCAAGTTCTTGCAGGTCTGAGGAATATGGATGGTGTTCATGGCCAATTTATATGTGTGGAACTTGTGTTATTTTTAGAGAAAAAAAACAAATTCTTTACTAAAAATAACAGAAGTTTTAAGGTGGTCAAAATTTAACTAATTATAACTATAATTACGGTGAAAAGACTTGCAATATGTGGCTTAGCTTGATTTTAGCATTGCTGTTTCTGTATTCTTGTTACATTCTTTTCGGTCATCTGTATTCTTGTTACATTATAACATGACTCCATGCATGAGTTTCAATTTCGATGTAGAAAAATAAAATTTTAATTTTTTTTTCCGCATACATGTATTTTAATTATTTTTTTGGACAAACTAGTACTTCATTCAAATTAACAGAAGAGTTATTCCCCACAAAGAGGGTACAAAAAGCTATTACAAGCCCAAATAAACCAAACAACGTGTATATTATAAGTCATCACTCGTTGGCTAATTCGAAGAATATTCGTGGTAAAACTACAATTATAAACAAAGAAATCAAACCATTGGTTTGGTTTGTAATTCAAAGTTTAAAACAGAAATTAGCTCATATTTTGACCAAAAAGAAAAAGCATGGTGTGAAATTTAAAGTTCTAAACGCAGGTAGTGTTTGGACAATCAATGGTCTTGTGCCTTTTGACCCGTTTATGGTAATACCAAATGGGATTAAAGTGTTTGTTTGGGCTGGCTCATTTAATATTATTATAAGGTACCTAGACCCTAGTAAATCTACCAAAAAGATAATGTCGGAAAGACAAATATCGATCGCTCACACTGAAACTGGAGCACTGCGTATTCGGTATTCCAACCGAGTTAACGGCGTTTGATTTGGTCTTCTCATGAAATTCACCATCCTTTTATAATCAGATTTTTTTCTCATCCAAGACATTTTATTTTGTTTTTCTCAGCATTTAGGACTTTTAAAGTTTGAATATACGAATAAGATGTAAAGTTCCTTTGTCCGATAATTGTTGAGTTTAAATACGCTTTTACTGATGTATTTCAGTATTAATTAATATCACGGCACAAGTAAGTGCCAAATAGTTTTACACATACATTGAACTATCAATATATACACGGCCATAAACTTATCCTATATTAATTCACGAGAAACCCCCTCAAGAAGCTGTTCCATTGGATTGTCGAGTCTCAAGTTCGTGCTCCGCGACCATAACACATGAGTCTGCTTCAAGCATTGGAATTGAACTGTTCGTCTTCTCAAGTATCTCACCGGTCAAAGAATCGATCATATCCGAGGTACACTGTACATCAGGTGAGATCCCTACTTGATCAATTTCGTGTAGAGACGGAGACAAATACTTAGCCACCGTCACAAACAAAGCCGACCCATCGTTTAGCTCTGTTACGCTCTTGCAAAATCGCCAATCATACAATCATAATTTTGTTTTCACAAGTTCAAGATTTGTATATTTGAATTGTTTAAAGCTGACTTATGCATGCACCTGGATTTTTCCTTTCCCAAATGTCCGGTTACCGACAAGTATAGCTCGACCGTTATCGTGTAAGGCACCTGCCAAAATCTCACTTGCACTCGCACTTCCTTCATTCACCTTTCCAATATTTGACCGAAACATTAATTGGGAGTGGACTTATAAACCAAACTTAACCGGAAACATTAGGCTTATACATTCTCCGACCCGAATTAACCTAAATTTCATTGGATCTATCTATTATTCACCTAGCCAACTTGTATATAACATTAATTCATACTTACAAGTGTACATAAATACATTACTACATACTTACAAGCACGACAAGTGGATCATGTGTCACAGCGTGTCCATCAATCATATTTATAGGTAATGTAACCCCTTCTCGGTCAATTGTATACACAAGGGTCTCATCTCCATCAAGCCATAACTGTGCAACATCGAGTCCAGCTTTAACCAGACCTCCCTGAAATGGAAATGTCAAAAAGCTAAGTGTCGAAAATGAACAAACACCCGAAAACTCGTTGTCAAAACCAAAACCTGAAATTTACCGGATTGTTTCTTAGGTCCAGAATGTATGACTGAACATCCTGATTCTCCATCTCATGTACCGCATTTATCATATCGGATGCTGCTGTCTGTCGGAAGAATTGAAACAATGAGCTTATATATTGCAATTCTCCTCTTCATTTGTTTTTGGTTTTCACAAGATTAACCTGAGAAAATGCTGTGAGTTTGACATAACCGGTCTTTGCTGAACGTCCATCAGGTGTTGTATGTGGGATTATAGTACTGGATATTGGTGATAGCTTAATGTAATCTCGGGGTACCTTGACCTTTACATATACAATATATACTTATTTAGTAAGTAACCTAACAAATCTAACATAAACAGCGGTAACTGTACCTCTCTGATACCAGACCCTGTCCCTGATCCATTCACCTGCAAGACGAGACAATAACTTAGATGGTTTGATCTCAAGTATACAGGGTTTTCGACAAAGAGAATGCATATGGAATCAATAGAGAAGACAAAGAATAGTACACATTTGAGTTTTATGGTAACAAATGTTCCAACTCGGCCTCTCAGCTTCTGTGCTGCTGCTTCACTATCAATACCATCCATTTTCTCACCTGAAATCCCATAAACAGAGTTACAGCCAATTTCTAGAAAGACAGAAAAAAAGTTAGTAGGATTAGGACATAACATTGTACCATTTATCTCGATCAATTCCTCTCCTTGGTGTATTCCAGCACGATATGCCGGGCTACCTTCTATGCAAGACAGAACAACCTACATTGGGCTCTACCATGAAACAAGATCTATCTACTTCATGCTCACAAAATGAATCAGTATTGAAGAAAAATGAAAAACCAAGCGTATTAGGTCTCAAGACGTGTTTGAGGTCTGCACTAACCAGGTGACCGGTTCTTGGTTCTGAGTTTATGAAAAGGCCAACACCTTGGAAATTTCCATCGCTACCAATTCTGAAACTTTGGTATTCCTGCAAGTCAGAAGAAGTATCTTAATGTAGAACCAACTTCAATTCATGCCCTGCAACACTCATTGAGAATCAAACTTTGCTGGTACCTTTGGGCTAATGAGTCGAGTAAAAGGATCACCAAGGGTAGAGAGCATAGCTTTGATCTTTCCATAAGCAGCATCAGCTGATCTTAGAGGAAACATTTCCACCATTGTCTGCTGCAGCTTAGAATCCCAATCTGCAAAAATCAGAACACTTTCCACAAGAGAACATTCTACAAAATCCACAAAAAAAATCATCAAAATCTGAACTTTACCCTGATGATTAAAAGTAGGATCAACGAACGTTTCTCTAATCAAACCCCAAGCTTCCACAAGAGTTCTCTGTACTGTAGTAACCTTAAACAAAACATCAAAATCCAAACTTTATTTCCCAGAGACGTTTAAAACAGAGAAACAGAGCTCAATGAAAAAGCTCGATCACCTCACGAGCACGTGAAACAGGGAAAGCGATAGTCAGAGACTCAGCTAGTGCCGGAGAATCGCAACACGAAGAAACCGCTACTGCAGCTGCGGCGGCTAAACCGATTAATCTTCTTCCAACGGTACTATTTTCCATTATGGCACCATGGCTCTCCGAATCAGTAGTCATCGTCTCTGTTTCGAACCCTGGACGCGAAGACGATGCAAGACAAGAACGTTTCTTGTGACGATTGAAGCTCGAGAGTCGAAGAATCGGAGACGGAATCGAATTGGGTTTCCGAGAATTCGTGAAGTGTAACAGAGGCATATCAAGTTTTGGTGTTACAGCTTTTTCCATTTTTTTAAGTCTGAAGAAGAAACTTGAATCAATCAGTTAACCCAGTGACAACAAATGTACTTATGTATCGGCTAATCTAATGACGTGTTTAAGAAGTTTACGACTGTTATTAAACCAAATTGTGGAAGATTCTTTACGTAGGTCCACTTGAATCTCTGTGGCTTTAGAGATATTGTTGCTTTGCTGTGTTGCGTATCCAAGCGAAGAACTGGAATCAATCAAGATCTGTGCTACACGTGTTGTGACTGACGTTACGTCAGTGATGTTTCAGAGATGATCTGTGGATGGACCAGAAGAGAGAGAGAGAGTCAAAATCTGTTTTATCTGAATATGGGCTTGATTATTGACTTGTACACAACGAGGCATAAGGCCCAGTAGAGCTTCGATTTGGGCCTCAGACTGGGACATTCAATTTTTAAACAAGGGATCTTGTTACACTCTGTTTGATTTGGCTTTCACTTACAAGACAAATCATCTTTTGGGCTTTATATATACCATCGACGTCGTTAGCTATAGATAATAGTCTAATAGATAGATGATATTCCAAATCTTGATTTGGATACAAAAATCACAAATACCTCAGAATGTTGTCAAAGCTCTATCTCGTTAATTGATGATATGAATTCGAACTCCACATAAACGAAAAAAAATAAAATTATGAACATGATTGAATAATTTTCACAATATCTCATACAAATTTTTGTTGCAAGTTTTAGCGTTAGCGTGTGTGCTCAAGAGAACTAATTTCTATAAAAGGTAATACACAAATATGAGTAACTTGTTTTATTCGGGCATACATAGATGATCACCATCGATCCACCATGACACGTGAATGCAATTCAATTAAAGAGTTGCATGTGCATGCATCGGGAAAAAACGATCAAAAAAAATTTGGGAACTGAAATTTAGGGTTTTTGACTTTAGAGATGGGAATGTTTAGAAGAAGGACATACACTTCAACTCCAAATTGATTGCTTCCCCTTTGGAAGGTAAGTATATAAAGTATGGGGTTCCTCTCATAATTCATAAAACCCCATCCCTCTCGTATTTTGTCTTTTCACATTAGTCCCAACGTGAACGTACGTACCCTTTTGTTATGAGTTCCGAGACAAAAAATCTTAATTAATCAACGGTTTTCATTTTAATTACCGATATATAAAAGTACCACACGTATCTAGAGATATACATTTGCTCATAACTAAGTAAGATATGAAACTCTTTTTTCATGATAGCTAAAGGCCTAAAGCGTGTGAGAATTACATCTACATCGATAGGTCGAAAATTAATTTCGATAGCTGTGAATCTTTTTTTTCCAACGATTTCTATACATGTGAATTGATGATGAGAACGTAACAAATAGATTACAAAGATAGATCCTTAAATTGATACAAAAATAGTTTTCAAAGCAATCAAACTGAAAGTTAATAATCTCAGTATATGTAGACGAACTTACCTAGTAACCAGGATGCACGCAGATGTGGTCCTTTGCTTTGGGTCGTCGTCTCTCTATATATAAAATAGTACTCTTCGTAAAAAAAAAACGAAAAACAATATACATAGAGAAAATAAGCGAATTATACCCCTAACGAAAAGAAAGTATATAAAATCAAGAGTACGTAGCTTTTCTTTATAAAAAGAACAGTAAGAAATTCATCTTTATTAAATTTTGGTTAGTTTTATGAAAAGTAAATGAACACAAAAAAGAAAACAAAGGAGGTATGGGAAAGGAGATAAAGACACATTTCACTTAAAGCACATTGTTGCAGACAGAAAGAGAAGGTTGAAAATAAAAAGATTCAAAAAACAAATATATATAAAGAAAATTCTTTAAAATATATATATATAGGAAAAATAATTATGTGAGAGAGGATAGCAGAGAGAGCTGGTCTTATGCAAAGTCTACTGTTCATAAAAGAAAAGAGTACCTGAATGAAAAAATACCTTCACTGACAATTTACTTATGTTATGTGGTCCATTTCTTTGTTCTTGTCACTATTGCAAATGGAAGTAACATACTAAAACTATTATAATGTAAACAAAACTTATATATATATATATATATATATATATATATATATATAGTTGACCAATCATATATACCACTTGATGATATTGATGGTCATCTTCCAATTAATATCAAAGTAAACCAAGTAAATTTGTTAATATTGAGGTTAAAAACAACTATACAGGGATGTATATAGATGATCATCATACACTTTTAGGGGTAATTAATGTAGGAAAGGTTTGATGGGTAAAACTTGGGGGAAAAGAGTGAGTGTGGGTATTTTCTTTGGAGTTATGTTAACCTCAAAATAGAATCTCTCCTCAAAGTAATTGGAAAGACAAAAAAAAAAAAAAAAAAAAAAAAAAAAAAAAAAGTCGATGCCATGTCCAATCATATTTATATATATTTTTCTTCTCTAATCGAAAGGAAAAAAAAAAACCAGATTTGATTTTCGATCGTACCACCTTTTTTGTTTCTATTACTTCTTTCTCCTGATATCATCTCTGCCCCCTCCCTTCTGTGATAATCTCACGCTCTAGCTTCAGTGCTTCACTTCACACACACACACACACATATACATAAATCCATACGTGCGTACGTCATAGATGATTCATATATATGCATGAAAACGTTGAATAAAAAGCGTCACACTCGTGACCATACAGATAATATGAATGAACTATCATTTCACTATTATCATATTATATATATATATATATATATGTATGTGTATAAAAACTTAGTTTTCGAAGACCCCCTTCAATAATGATGTTTCAAATTCATTAGTGTATATATATAAAGATTTGATAATATTACTAGAAAATGAAACTTGACAGGAAAAAGTGTTTTTCATTTTATTTAATTTTATATTTCCTTGAGATAATATTCGCTGGTGAAAGAAACCCAACACAACATACAACTTGGAGAATCTACGAGAGGCATGATGATCAAATAAGCTTTAACAGGAGTAGCAAAAACAAAATAAAGTTGATCAAATAAAGAATATGGACAAAAGAACACGCTCGGACAATCATCACGAGCTAACGAATACCTCTCTAGCTCACTCATCTCTCTTCTAATTAAGATATATCTATTATTATTTGTATCACAAGAAAGAAAGAAAAAGTGTTTTAAGATTTTTTACCATAATATATATATATATATATATATTACTTCGCTAATTGGATCATATATTCTTTTGTTTATATAAGATTTATATTATATTGTTCATAGTATCACTCGTTCGATCGCTAATAATGCACGCAGAACAGCTAGCTGGATATTAATAAGTTTTCTCAAGCTGGTTCTACTTGTAATTGTTACATTAAAATCCAGAAATTAAAAGGTCTGAATTAATTTATTTAATTACACATATACAATTTAACTTTAATTTTATGCATTTGTGATCAGATTACAAAAACAGTTACGACTAAAACAATCTTTAAATAAATTCATAGGAAAAAAATATATATATTTTAGTAATTCATATATGAACAAAATTATATTATATACAGAGCTCGAGAGTTTGACAGTGGTTTGATTCTCAATAAACTCTCTTCTCTTCTTTTTTGGTGTTTAAGAATTGGATTAAATATATACCCTAATATATGTATGATGTCTAATAAAGATAGATACTGCCCTCTTATATGTCGTCATTTTTCTTACTAGTGTCTAATAGAGAAATATTGTATCATACTAATTTAAATAAAGATAATAATTATGTGTGTATATATATATATATACATATGTTGTTTTCTTACGTCCATATATAAATGTTTTTTAATATATACAATTATGCTTTTGAAAATATATATGAAATTTAATTTTTTTTCATTTTTTTATTATATGCTCTTTTGAGGTACCCGTGATTAATCATGAGTCAAGCTCAATTTGGCCTCTTTCTCCCTTTATCTTTTTTGCATGTTGGGGCCTCCTTCAAACAAAGTTGTCGAAAATCATAGATAGCTACATTAATCTTCTTTATGTGATGATATTTAATAGTTAATACTAATTCGAAATGTATATTTTTCTTTCATTTATAACGATTATGTATGTATAGACAAAACGAATACGTCAAAAGAAGATTTTTCTTCCATAATGTATAAAAGAGATATATATATATATATATATATACAGTGTACGTACGTGTGTGTCCATTATATTAAATTAAATGTAGGAGATGGAGATTTGAGCCACGGCAGACAAAGCTGTCTCCTTCAGATCAGCCTTGGAATATGAACAGTAGTTCCCAATTTCACTTACACATTTTTGCATTTCTCGACATGAACATAGGAAAGTGTAAAGTAATTAAAATTTCGTTTAACGGATTTAGTAGAATATAGCTTCGGGATTTTAAAAAAGCAGGAATTAAGGCCTTTTTCATTTAAGTTTTTTGTCAGACAAGAAAATTTTGTCTACGTTAAACAACCAATGTATAAACTTAGGTTTTATAAATGTAATAGGTAATATAACAGCATAATTACGGAACAAAGTGAAGAAGTCCAATGTTCGGATTCTTTCCGGCAACACAGTATAAAAAAATCAAATATATATTGCTCGGATTTTGAAAATGTCTTCTTAGATAAATGCACACTCACAGAGAACAATTCAGTTTCGAGATTCGAAAAACTTTTTAACTAATACAGTATACATAATCAATAATTTTTCATTTACCTTTTATGTTTCTGTTGTTTGCGATCTATATTTATTTTAATCGGAGTACTGTAAGCATGTGTTTTATAGACCTTTAACTGGAGACATAATTTCTAAATAAATGAGAGTTTTAGATAGAAATATATGTTCATAATTAAGATGCAAAATTAGAATTCAAAGTCTTACTATGTTCATCAAATCTATGAATCATTTATAATATCATATCAAAAACAAAAGTTGTGGTTCTTGCTTTTAACCACTTTTTAATTTAACTTTGTAAAAGTGATTTAAAAACTGTTGGACTTGTTTTATAGCTTAATCATATATAAAGCTATAATAGATATAGACTCCAAAAAAAATATAAAGTGACAAAAGTTTATCTATAAG